GAAGACAGTTACAGCCTCATACGACCCCCACCTTCAGAATGTAGCTTATGAAATATGAAAGTTATGACGAATATGACGAAGTGCGTTTTGGAACCACCGGTGGTCTCAAGGAGTTGAAGAGGTTAAAGGGTTAATATGTCCTGATCTGCTGCATCTGCTCTGATGTGAAGTCGGTGCTGTGAGACTCGGAGCTGCAGCTGAATATTTACTGAGATGTTCTGCTGTTTTTCATGTCTGTTGATATCAAATTAATTACAGTCTTTGAAATATGAGTCTCGTTTTCTGCGACTCTCGACGAAAAAGATCAGATTTCCATCTAAACCTGCGGCTCTCAGTGTCAGTCTGAGCTTTACGGCTCAGTCTGGACTAAATGTGGTCAGTAAGCGAAGCTGCAGGTCAGTCAGAGAAGAAAGGCTCTTAAACTTTAGCTAACATCGTTACCGCGGTGCAGCGTTACACTGTAATCTTACAGCACTGCTGCCCCCATCAGGTGAGAGGAGGAACTGCAGCAAACTGGCTGGAGGAACACTTAGAACACACTCTTAAACAAAAGCTGATTCAAATCTGCCAAATGCGGCCCGTGGGTCAGACTTTGGACCCCCCTGTTATAAGAGCTCCAGAACACTGTGTGTGTGTGTGTGTGTGTGTGTGTGTGTGTGTGTGTGTATACCTGAAGCCGTAGTAGGTGGCGGGGTCCGCGAGCTGGGGGAAATGGTGCTGGAGCTGTTTCTGCACCGTGCGCTCTTCGGCCCAGAACTTCCCATCTATGCGAATGTCCCAGTGTTTGTTCACCACCAGATAATCCTCACTGCGGTAGAGAAGCTCCAGACGCTCCAGACTCGCCGCCTCCATCCTCTCCTCACCTGCACACACCAGCAGGACAACACACCTGAATCACTGACCACCTGTTCATCATATAATCACCTCTCTATACTCACACGTTTAATATCTCTCACTAGACCAGCGGCGTCAACGCCACTAAAATGACCATTTTAAAAATCTTATTAAGGACAAGGCGTGCATTTTAATATCTGCATATATTTGCATTCATGTCTGTGTGCATTTCTATCTTAAATATATTGACTGTTATCAAATCTTTAATGTCCTGTTTCAGGTATTAAACTCTGCTGGTCTGGTTGCTCCATCTGACTGACTGGTTGAGCCGCCTGACTTTTCAGACTAATTTCAGACTAAACAGGATCTACTCAGACACCCTGTAGAAACCTTTGACCTTCAACCTGAGATTATACTCACATTTTCTCAAATAAATAAACATTATAATAATAAATCCACATTTTCTTGGTTCCCCTGAGGTCAGAACACCTGACATGGTAAACAGAACCGTTTCTAACCACGACTCAAACATCACTTTTACTGAATCTGTGAATTTCACTGAAGTTTTCAAAGATAAAATGATGCCAAACTATTTTATTTAGAATTTTATAACTAAATTACCCTTTTAATCAACACACATGGTTGGACGGCTGCACCACCTGACGTGTTCAGGCCTTTGGAGGCAAAAAGAAACTAAAATGAATTTTATATGAATGCACTGAAAATTGTTTCACAAAGAAGTTGAGTAATTTGAAATGTGTGAAGTATTTATTAAATTATTTTTGACTTGGACACAAAAAATGCACGTCATGTCAATGATCTCCACACACACACGATTAAAAATGACAATATTAGGATGAACCTCAGGTAAAGCTGAGAAACAGCGCCATCCAGTGGCAAGTGTGTGAATTTTAAACTGCCACAGTATTTGCGTTCAGTTTAAACTGCAGGTTCTGCGGACACAGCGGCGCAGTCTAATAACCCACGTGACTCAGTCAGGTTTAAACTCGGTTTAAACTCTAAACCTCAGCTTAGAAATGAACCTAATAACGAACCGCTACAGTCACAGCTACAGCAGATCCAGCTCGCCGTTTCCTTCATTCCGCTCCGGGTTTTAATCCTCGCTCTGTACTCACCGCTCAGCGGAGGAGCGGAGACTCCGGACTCTGTTAATTAATCACATTAATTAGCGTCTTAATCAGTTTCAGTTTTCAGATTCTCTCACTTTCATCTCTGCTACACACAACACGCGCTCCCCTCGCACACAAGCCCCTACCTCCGGGTAGGGATTTCAAAATAAGAGTCTGACCCTACGTATTTAGGTACTTTTATTCGTCAAAATAAGAGTCTGCCTCAACGCATTTATGTATTTATCAAAATAAAAGTCTTACCTAACGTATTTATGTATTTTTTATTTATCTGTCTGCACATTTATGACTTCATTTATCAAAATAAGAGTCTGACCCAACGTATTTATGTATTTATCAAAATAAAAGTCTTACCCAACGTATTTATGTATTTATCAGAGTCTGCACATTTATATGTACTTCATTTATCAAAATAAGAGTCTGACCCAATGTGTTTATTTATCAAAATAAAAGTCTTAACCCAACGTATTTATGTATTTTATTTATTTATCGGAGTCTGCCCAAACATATTTATGTACTTCATTTATCAAAATAAGAGTCTGACCCAACGTATTTACGTGCTTTATCAAAATAAGAGTCCGTCCCAAATATTTTTTTACTTCATTTCGTCCACACATACTGAGGTCAGTCGAACCATCTGTAGATCCAACGCTGCATCTCAGGTTTAACTCCGGTCTAACTGACCTCTACAGAAAAGATCATTTACACATACACACACGCTTGTCTTGCTATACTTGTGAGGACATCCATAGGTTTCTATTGATATTTGTATTACCGTATTAAAGCAGCACCAGAGCTAAACCTAAACCTTAGAATCCAAAAGGCATTTTAGTCTTTGCTATAAAAAAATGTGATTTGTGGTGAAAAACATGTTGACCAGCAAAATGGCTTACCTGAGCAAAGTGAACAAGTATAGCAGAACAAGTCCACACGTTTTATATTCATTCCAGTACAATTTTGAATGGAAGTTTTTGAAAGGAAATATAATAGAAATTTCATTTCTGTAATGAAAGTACTTTAATCACAAAACAGCACCGGTATTTCTTGTATGTGTACAAACTAGATTTACATCCAGAGGAGTTGCTTCTCAAATCGAGGGTCACATAAGTGTTAATATTACATTTTTATTTAAAGTATTTATTTAATATGTTATTTCTTTATGGTTCAGTAAACACAGATGCACATAGTCTAAAATTAAAGCTGAATGTTCATCTGGAAAGACGTAAGGACGGCAGAGACCACAGCTTTTCTTCTCAGTCCAAAACCAACACTGTGCTGATGCAAATCCTCTACGTCTTCTTGCGGAAATAAAAATGGGAAAGTTGGTAATTTTTATCAATGATAGAAATTTAGTCTTTGCATTGTTATTAACCAAACTCTCTATTCAGTGACCTGTTATGATAAAACGTTGGTCTTGGACAGATAACAGGTGACTAATTAGGCCCATCACTGCACACCGGCCTGTGAGCCTCATGGTACCTCAGACATTTCATATCATCATTCACTCCTGAATAAACACATTCAGTTTCATGAAAACAGATTATCCTCATTTACGGCTATTCAACCTATAAAACAACTCGTTAAAGGTTTTCAGTAAAGACAATGGTTTTTATCTAGAACGATGAACACTCAAAAAACCATCTGCATGCTTAAAATCGTTCTTCAGATTGACAGAGAATGCGTCATATGGTTCTATACAGAACCATGTTGTATAAGGTTCTATATAGTACCAAAAAGCATTCCCCTGCTGTTAGAAGCTGGACATAGGAGAACCCGTTTTGGTGTTATATACACACACAACACAGTTCTATATAGAACCACTGTCTTCTAAAGAACCCTTAAAGAACCTAAAGAGCATATAGTATCTAAAAATATTCACACTGAAACAGAGGTATATATTTATTCCAGTGTCTATATATCCATCCATATATGGGCAAAACTGTTGGGACACACCTCTTCAGGTGTTTCATTCAGTCTCTTTGCCACAGGTGTATAGAATCCAGCACCCAGCCATGCAGCCTGCCTTCACACACATTAGTGAAAGAACGGGTCTAAAGAGCTTAGTGAGTTCCAGTGTGGTGCTGTAATAAGACGTCACCGTTACGAGAAGTCATTTTGTGAAATTTCTTCCTTGCTAGATTTTCACTGAGTGAATCACTGAAAGTGGAAGTGTTTAGGAACAGCAGTTCAGCCATGAAGTGTCAGACCATGTAAAGTTACAGAGCGGGTCTCCGAGTTCTGAGGAGCACAGAGCATAAAAGACACCAACGCTCTGCTGATCAATCACTGCAGAGCTCAAACCTCCTCTGGATCAACATCAGCACAGAAACTGAGCCGGGAGCTTCATGGCTCAGCAGGCCTTACATCATCAAGTACAAAGCCGAGCGTCGGATGGAGTGGAGTAAAGCGCCACCACTGGACTCTGGAGCAGTGAAACGTGTTCTGTGGAGTGACCAATCTTCTCTATCTGTCAGTCTGATGGACGAGTCTGGGTTTGGCGAATGCCAGGAGAACGTTACCTGCCTGACTGCACTGTGCAGCTGTAGAGTTTGGTGGAGGAGGGATGATGATATGGGGCTGTTCTTCAGGGGTTGATCTAGAACCCTTAGTTCCAGTGAAGGGGAATCTTAATGCTTCAGCACCAAGACATTTTGGACGATTGTACACTTCCGACTTTGTGGAACAGTTTGGGGAAGAACCTTTCCTGTTCCAGCATGACTGAGCCCCAGTGACCAAAGCAGCTCCATAAAGGCCTGACTGGGTGAGTCTGGGGTGGAAGAACTTGACTGGCCCTCACAGAGCCCTGACCTCAACCCCATCAACACCTTTGGGATGAACTAGAACGGAGATTTGTGAGCCAGACCCTCTCATCCAACATCAGTGTCTGACCTCACAGATGCTCTTCTGGATGAATGGATAGAAATTCCCACAGACTCTCCAACATCTTGTAGAAGCTTCCCAGAAGAGTGGAAACTGTTAGAGCTGCAAAGGGGACCAACTCCATATTAATGCCTATGATTTAGAATGGGAGTCATAAAAGCTCCAGTAGGGGTGGTGTGGAGGTGCATGTGTAGACCGCAGCGTTAAAAACAAAAGACTCTGAGACGCACGTCGTCACTGTTAGACTTTTATTGTGGGTTGTACCCGAGTTATACAGCTTTGTATTCTGATATTAAGATCAGAACTTTTACAAACAGTTATCAGTCTACAAGTACAGCCAACAAAAGACCTAAAATCTAATCTACGTCTTATTCCATAATATCGCGCTTAAGGGCACTATAATCGAAAACCAAGCAACAAAGAGGAAAAAAATAAAACAGCATTAGAGGAAACATTCATCACTACACATGAGTAATCTACCTTGTATTATTAGACTAAATATCGTCAATTATTATTACCATTACAAATAAGGATTGTCCTTCAAAAAGTGCAGTTCCCCAAGTTAAAATTCTAAGATGACCCCAGGAAGACGCTGAAAAAGACCTTCCTGCTCGTTTAAAGTTGTTATTGACATTGATTACTCTTCGATCAATCGTTGTTCAAACAGTCTACCAAAGCAGTGTGTGCATATAAGGATACGTGAGCAAAAAAACCCCAAGATTTCGTGACAGTTTCTCTAAAAATGTTGCAGTTGAGAATTTGCCGTTTCACAGCCCGTTTGTCTGAGGAGTGTTGTGAAAGGTAAAATCGCTATATAATGCTCCGTCTGCTACAACTGGCCCGCTTTTATTTGGAGAAGAGGAAGAGGAACGAAAAAAAAAAACTGAATAAATATCGATTTCAGTCATGGCACGTGTTTCAGGAATCGTAACTTTTTTTTTTCTTTTAAAATCCCGTGTCAGGGACTTTTATTATGCAAACACAGACATGGAAGCCTCACCCTTCACTGCATAGACTTTCTTAGAATTTCCCCCGGTGGAAGATTTCTCGTTCTCCTCTCTTTGTGCTGGTTTTTCTAAAGCTTTATTTCATCATTTTCATTTTATACATAACGACATGACAGCGATACTCACAGTTTAAGTCAATTGCCTTTAGCACATTGTTCTCGACAGTAGGAACCATTTAAAAGACGTGGGTAAATATTTCGCTCACAGGATAATTCTGAAAATACAAAAACGTTAGAATGTCAGGCCAAGTTCATTGTAATTTTTTTCCCTCCACTTTTACCTGGCCATAAAAATGGGGATTGTACATTGCTCGTGAACTTTCCTCGAAAAAATAATAAAACAATTGCAAGTGAAGCATTTTACGCATAAACATTGTCCAGCTTTTACACCAAAAAAAATATCCCTTTCCGACCCCGCCCCTCCGAATTTGGCATGACGATGACTTAGCAAAGACACTTTTCTGACAGCTGAAAGACATAAAACAAACTTTAAGAGGACAGAGGTGGAAAAAAATAAACAAAAATCAAAATAAAAGCTGAAATAAAACATATGAGTGGAAATAAACTGGCAATGGCTTCCCCTTCGCCTTCCGACTACTCAGTGCCGAAAAGGGAAATGAGCTCGCTCGCCTGAAGGAACGATCGCGGTTAAAGCTGAGTGAGGCCAGAATCGTACGCAAGCACGCAAACGCAAACGATGCGACGTCCTGACGTGGCAAATAAAACACTGACCTGTAGGGGGCGACAGAGGACAAATCAGAGCGTCTGTAAACAAAACCTGTTATTCAGCCACAGCAGCGAAGCATGGCGGCGGTAGAGCTCCGTACTGTGTGCCGATTTATTTGTTCAACTGGAATAAAGAGATGATTATTTATAAATAAGTGTTTATATGAGGACCCGTTCTGAGAGACATGCGGTCGACTGCTAGAGGTACAAAGTCTGGTGAGTCTTGGCTGCCGCTACAGCGCCCCCTCACTGCAACGCTCAGAATGCAGCTTCTAAAACCGCGAAACCAAGTCTTTTGCGTTAGGATGGTCAAAATTATTACAAAATCACCCGACCGCAATTAAGCTGATTATCCACAGTGGTTAGTTTAACACAAGTCATTTGTTTACTTCACGAACAGAACATGAACTGTGTGCGTTTTCTTTCGCTGAGCTGATGGAAAAAATATATTTCAGTAAAAGAATTCAAAACATGTTTCGGACGCCACAGGTCTTACAAATACAGTTCTAACTTGCAGCAAGGGACGTTCACGCGATGTTTGGGTGACGCTTTTAGAGGGCGGCCGGGAGCGTCGTTTGTTTATTTGACGTTTGTTAATGATGCCTTTAGAGGGCAGTGGTGAGTAGTGTTTGTTTATTTGATGTTTGTTAATGACGCCTTTAGAGGGCGGCGCTGAGCGACGTTTGTTTATTTGCCGTTAATGCCGCCTTTAGAGGGCGGCGCTGAGCGACGTTTGTTTATTTGCCGTTAATGACGCCTTTAGAGGGCGGCGCTGAGCGACGTTTGTTTATTTGCCGTTAATGACGCCTTTAGAGGGCGGTGCTGAGCGACGTTTGTTTATTTGCCGTTAATGACGCCTTTAGAGGGCGGTGCTGAGCGACGTTTGTTTATTTGCTGTTAATGACGCCTTTAGAGGGCGGCGCTGAGCGACGTTTGTTTATTTGCTGTTAATGACGCCTTTAGAGGGCGGCGCTGAGCGACGTTAGTTATTTGAACTGTTCCTGTTGTCAGTTTGGAGCTACTAAGTATGGACAGATAGGTAGGAGATCGCTAATCAGCTACTTCAGGCTTGTACTTTAATAAATTAACCAACAGAATTTAACTGCAAACATCTGAGTGGAAATTAATCGTCAGTTAATATTCATCGATTGCGACAGTCCTAGTTTGCATTCGCGCACTTGCGTTCAGTATTTTTCTGGCCTAAAGCGGCGAATTAGACGGCGCGCACACACACTAACCTGGGCACAAAACACTCCAAAACACACGGGTTTGGACTAAACCACATCAAAGGAGAACAAACCCCCATTGAGAAACACAGAGGGAGAAAATGAATAATAATAAAATAATCACAGCACTCTAGTCTTAAGTAATGTATTCCTGCAGTTAAGCTTAATGAAGACGAGGATGGGCTGCGCCGCAGACGCAGACGTTCCCGAAGCCAACAGGAACGATCAAGACAAAAAAAAAAATCCTCTGTCAAATTCGTCTCGGCCCAAAAACACACACAAACATCAGTTTAGATCAGTTAATGAACTCCAAGTGCAAATCCAAGGCTTTCATTTTTAGGTTCTAACGCAAACCTGCTCCAAAATGTTCCACTTAATATTCGATACTCGTCACACAGAATGAGGAGAAAATTAAGGAATTAAGCACAGAACTCTTCTGATTGAAGGATTTTTGGTAAAGCAGTTACTTAAATGGTTCAAATACTGGCACGCCAACCACCAAGCACAGGCTAATACTCGCAGGGCTTTCAGAGCGCTTAAATACGGATTAAATTAAATCTTCAACTTCTTCTCAAAACAACAGCTTAAACAAATTAAGGTCCATGGCTCGGCCTAATGCTGACATCTCACTCTCTCTCTCTCTCTCTCTCTCTCTCTCTCTCCACCATCGCAACTAAACAGTGTCAATGGTTTAATCTACCAGCAATTGATTACATTCACCTCCGATTGAGAGGCTTGCCATTTACAACAAACCAGCTGTGAGAAAGGAGAGGGGGAAATAAAACAAAAGTAAAAGGGGATACATAAGCAGCCAAAAACACAGATTTAATATCGTAATGAACTTCAGAAGAAACAAAAAAACCAAAAACTGTACACGTTACAATCATATTCTATTTGTAAACAGTTAAAAGCCACTTGACTTGTTGCATCTTCGGACACTTTTTTTTTTAATCAAGAATCAAGGCAATGAATGAAATGTGGACGACTTTTGCACTGTTAAAATAACCCAAAACAAAACAAAAGATTTCATTTTTAACACCATCTCTGGCAATGTAAAAGATTCAAAGTAAGGTATATTCGATTATTTTTTTGAAAAAACGACACGTAAAACATCACTTTCAGACGAAGAAAAAGCGGTTCTGTGAGCCGGACGACGGGCTACAGTATGCATAGTTACAGATTTCGGCTTTTTCTTCTTTAACAGTTACACCGACGAGCGGAAAACAAACACTCGATGGAAATAGAGGAGGAGGACAACAATAATAATAATAATAATAATAATAATAATAATATAGTGATTCAGCAAACCAAATCCACTCAGTAATAAAACAGCATTGAAAGCAGTGTAGAATGTCTCCAGCTTAAAGCAGTTATTTGGCAGAAAAACTTACAGAGCTATAAGTAGTTTTCAGTGCTAAAAGTTGGATTTTTCCTACAATTAGGAGTTTCTATGGGAGTGGGGGGGAGGGGGGGGACTGGCTATATTTCCTGAGAACCATGCTGGTTATTTAGCAGACGAGGAATAGATTAAAAAAATAACCAATGACATGGCCAAACACTGATCAGTATTCCCAGAGATAGACCGCTTCGTCTTCATCCTCAAGAGGGTTATTTTTATTATTTTTATTTTTTTTCCTATGTTTTTTACTTTTTTTAAAGCGTTTTTACCTTTTTATTGTTTTTTTGTATGTTTTCTCTTTCTTTTCATTTAAAATGAAGGAAGAATGACCATACTTTCCCCCTCAAAAGAGTCTGTAAACAAGAGGGCGTGCCTCCAAAAACGAAAAACAAAAACAAACCGAAAAAAGAAAAATAAAACAAAACCAAAAACGAAACAAAAAGCCTATCTGAAAGTGAAAGTGCTGTTCCCCCTGGTTTTGCAGGTCGGGTTTGCAAGTCACAGCTGTGGCTACAGTTTTTATTTTTTAGACTGCAGAACGCTAAATTCTTTAGTTTTAAAACATAAAATCGGTGCAATACTCATTTCTGTAATCAGATAATCCTAGGTCAGCATCTATAGTCTTGATCTCCAACTCCACAATACCACAAAGAAGGTAGGCGTACATCAAGGCATAGTAGAGCGCACACTTTAGTTGTTTGTTTTTTCTTTTTCTTTAAGAACGTCCTTGAGTAAACATCTACACTGGAACTGTCGGCTCCCTCGATATTGCAGATTATACTGAGAAAAACCACATTCAGTGCAAAGTTAAAAAAAAGCTCATACTCCAACATTGTCAGCAAACAAATGCGCAAAATAAAACAAAAAAAACAAAAAAAAAAACTGGAATTCAAATAAACATGATGAATAAACATGAGCTGAAGATTTTTTTTCTCGTATGAAGAGCACTACCTGGAAGTTTAAATACATCCTTTCACATTATAGTTATTGGCCTGCATGATTCAAGTATTCAAACTGATATGTTTTGGGCTAAAACAAAGTGGACATATGTGCAGAAAAAAGTAACTTATTTCCACAGGGTGACCCCGCCTCTTTTTTAGGTTTAATAAGTGAAAAGTCCAACTAGTGCCATTAGATTTTGTTTTTTTATATAATATATATAGTCATATGATTATGATTAACTATCCACGCTGAGGTCACAGGTTTATTTCTATTTTTTTTCCTTTTTTTGTGTTTTTTTCGTGTTTTTAGTCTGAAGGTATGTGAGTAAATGAACTACATGGAGTCTCCGCCGCTGCCCGCGAGGTGATCGACGGGGAGGAAGGAGCCGATGGGCCCAGGGCTGCCGATGCGGCCCCCCTCTCCGCCGCTGGGGCTGCCCCACAGGCTGCTGGAGTAGCTGGGACCCCCCCAGAGCGAGGAGCCGTGCAGGTCCCCCCCGTTCCAGTGGTTTGGATCAGTGCGGTTGGGGAAGGCGTGCGAACCCTCCATGGATCCGATCCGGTTCTGAGAAGAGGCCAGCGTCTGCCAGCTCGGCGAGGCGGTCAGGGACTGACCTTGTGCAAAGAAACGGTTGATTTCCTCTTCACTAGCAAAATCAGCGAGAATAGTAGTGTTCCCTAAAACACACCTGGAACAGGAGGGGGCGGAGCAGAGTTACTATGGCAACATTCAAAAATACACTGATTTATTCAAAAATTCAGGCGTAATTGACTGGTTCAGATGTAAACAGAGCGGTTCAGAGTGGTTTGGTGTGAAACGCTCCGTTCTAGATAATCTTCCCGAGTCAGAACTGTTCACAGTGGTGGTGATAGGAACCAGACGTCCACCTCTAAAAGCTCCCTCACAGAAAGTTCCTACATGAAATGGTTATGAATTCACTGCCTGAAGACTGAGACACTGTTTTATGATAGTTTAGAGAACTTAAACTCCATTCATGGTGGAGGGATACATGCAGGGCGCTGTGAGGCAAAATAGTCCCCAAAGAAAACTTATTATTTCAGATTTCCCACTATTTTCCATCATCAACATTCCATACAAAGCAATACTCAAGAATTTATGTATTTTTTTTTCTTCATGTTATCCAGGTTGTCTCAGTTTAAATAACTTCCATTTATTCGACTTTTTCTTTTATTACTGTTACAGAACTTTATTACCTGACTTATAACCTTTATTATAATAAAACTGAAATAGACAGACAAAGAATGAAGAGGAAGAGGAGGAAGGAGGATAAGTTAAGTTTGTGGAGAAAAAGGAGAAAGAAAAGAAACGAGGAGAATTCATTTCAATTTAGTAAATAAAATGTCTATATTTGTGTTGTAGTCATGGCGACCCCTGGTTCCTATCACCACCACTGTAGAGACATCTGAACCATTTCACACCAAACCACTCTGAATCTCTCTGTTTACACCTCACACACTGAATTATGGGGGAATTTGTTAAACTCAAGATCTAAAATCTCAGTCTCACTGTAGTTTAGCGTAAACTGCATCAATCAAGGCTCATCAGTGGAAGCCCAGCTGATAATGTCTTATTAAATTCTGGATAAGAAAACCATTCAGAAATGTGAATAACCAACACAGTAATAACCTCAAATACACACACACACACACCCCCACACACCCCCCCCATCACCGCTGCGGACTGAGCAGCACCTGAAACACTGATGGATCAACTATAAGATCACAGACTCACATGTGCAGTGACTTCTGGGCCTTGGCCGCCTCCTCCTTGGAGCTGTAGCAGACGACGGCGTTTCCGTGGGGCAGGTTGAGGTGGAATGTTATCAGTGGACCGTGCTGCATGCACAGAGTTCGCAGGGTGGAGCCATCGATCTACAGACAACACGGAGACGCTCACTACAGCAGACACACCAGCACAGCTCACGACCTTCATCACTGCCAGGGGGGCACTGATACCACCGTTTCCCTTCAGATACGACACCTGATGCTCATCTGAGCTCTGATACTAATGCTATCTAACTCCACTTTCTAAATATTTACTTTAGTAAAGGAAGCGATTTGTGTCACACAAAGCATAAAAGCCTGAAGGAACAGAACCGGGAAATACATCAGGGCTGGACCCGAATATAACAAATCCATATATTGATTCTTTTAGGTGGGTATTTGGTTTTAAAGCATTCTGCAGAGAGCAGATCCGAGTCGTTCTTACCTGAGGCGTGAGATTTTTGAGAACGAGCCAGTTGGTTCTCCCTGAGCTGCTGTCACCCCAGCTGGAGCCTGTAGAGAACCAACACAGTCATTTCACTGCTTCACAACAGAGTTCACAACTAACACAATCACACCACGAGAGCCGTGACTCTGCTGACCGCTCTGAATGATCCACACAGGGCAGAGCAGTAAGCGCTTACAGGGCCTAAAAGTTGTGATGTATTTCTGTGTAAGCTAAACCACAGAACCCTGCAGCCGCTCCACACAGCTCACTCACACCAACTCAGGGGTTCTCAACCTTTTACACCCAAAGCCCACCTGCGCATAACTACAAAGCACAGCGGCCCACAGGAAAACTAAAATCAACCTTTTAAATTCAAAATCTGCAGGTATGTTAAAACACACATAAAACATGTTTAAAAAACAAAAACATGGTCATAGTGATGTTAAAAAGGAGGAAAAAAAAGCAATAAAATACTAAAAAATAAAGAACAGAAGCGTACGAGGCAGATGTGGACTGTGATTTGGAGCTGCCGTCCATCGAGTTTTTACTGAAAATTCTCCACTGGCTTCCCAAAGAGAGCAACTGTTTGGTCTCGAGACGTCTCTTCAGTTTTGAGGCTTTTTGTGGTTCATTTGAAATAAAACACTTCACTCTCTGAGCTTCTGGATCGGCGCAGTCACGATCAATACTAATGATCAATCGCGCTTGATCTGCTTCGTCATTAGTTTAGTAATTTGAGTTTAACCACTCAAGTCGTTGATGCTCAGCCAAATATACACTTTGCAGGTCCAAGTCACATCTCTTCTCTATTGTTTTATTGTTTATCTATTTTACAGCAGCTCCTGCTGAGTCTGTAGAGTCAGTCGTTAAAAGTGCTGACTTACAGAAAAAAATACTTTAAGTGTAATTAAGTTAATCTAATGCAAAGACAGGCCTGTAATTTAAAAAAAAATCTTTATCTTAGTAATAAAACAAACCATCTTTTAGTTAATCAGGTAATTAACTTCTAGATTTATGTGCAGTTTTATTATAAAGGCCTACATGATTAAGCACAATGTTGCCACCCAGTGGATTCAAGGAGAACTACATTTATGAACATGGTTAATTATTGTTTATGAAAGTGTTTGAGAATTAATATTTATTTTGCTGAACAGACATTTGAATATTCACAGTGTGTAAATTGGTGCTCAGTTCATGCTAAATTTCTATTCCTCACTATTAACTGTGATCATGCGAGCTGATCTGGGTAAAGTCCTGTGTGCTGAAGCGAACGTATGCGTGTTATCTGCGTGTTGTGCGACTGACCCGGGGTGTATCTGGATTCGGAGCTGCCCCAGCCGGCCAGTCTCAGAGAGCCGCTGTCCCAGGAGGAGGGCTGTTTCTGCCCCGATAGGCCGGGTGGGGGGCGGGACGGAGCGGACACGCCTTTCGACGGGAGGGGAACCTTCCACAGCTCGTGAGCTAAAGAGGTGTTGGTGACGGAACCAGGAGACCATTTGGAGTCACTGTTTCTGGCTGTGAGGAGAAAAACAGCAGCCATTAGATGACAAACAGACAAACAGCTGGACAGAAACAGATTTCATACCAGATAATTTAACTTCCTTAAACAGAAGTTTGTACGTAAAGTGATCATTCATTATTAAAATAATGAAGCTTTCTGCTCGGTTAATAAAAACAAAGTGTTCTTGAAGCTTATAACGTTTTAGAATAACACACGTCACGTAAAGAGTGACAGCGGCTAAGAGACGGTACCCAGTGTATCAGACACGTCTGGCCGATTTGTTTAATAAGATCACCATCGTTGCCATAATAACGTACGTGTTTTTGTTGTATACGTTCAGAAGTCAGATCCGGTGTAAAGCGTATTTAAGGTTCTACCTGAAGTGCTTTGTGCTGTACTGCTGAGGGAACTACTGTGGTTGGAGGCACGAATGGATGTCCAGGCACTATTTGAAGGCAGCGTGGTGTTCAGTGATGAGGATGGCCCTGCAGAACACGAACAACACCCTGGTCAGACACACTTATACCGAGACATTCACACCAGCTGCAGCCCTCAACCGTTTACAGGAATAAGAAAATATGAAACAGGCAAGAGTGCAGATTAAAAAGAAATAAAGAGGTAAAAGAATAGAAGAAAGCAGAAAAAGAAGAACATGACAGTGGAGTGGGAGGAAAAAAAACAGTAGAAGAATAACAGGGAGAAAAAGAAGGAGAGGAAAAGAATGAGAAGGAAAGGAAAAAGAGAGAAGAAGAAAAGAAAGAAGGAGAAGGAGGAGAAAGAAGGATAAGGAGGTAGAAGAAAGGTGAAAAAGGAAAAAGGAGAAAAAAATGGAGTACAAGAAATAGACAAAAGATGAAAAGGAAGAAGGAAAAAGTATAAGAAAAAGGAGGTCAAAGGGGAAGAAAGAAGGATAAGGAGGGAGAGGAAAGGTGAGAAGAAAGGAGAAAGAAGGAGAAAAAGGACACAAGGAAGGAGAAAAAAAAATGAGGTACAAGAAACAGGCGAAAGATGAAAAGGAAGAAGGAAAAAGAATAAGAAAAAGGAGGACAGAGGGGAAGAATGGGAAGAAGAAGAAAAGAAGCAGAAGAAAAGGAAGGAGGAGAAAGAAGGAGCAGAAAAGAAAGACACAGAAAGGAGAAAAGAAATAAGAGGATAAGATAGAGGATAGAGGAAAAGGGAGAAAAGAAAGGAGGAGAGAAAAATGGAGGAGAAAGAAGCAGGAGAAAAAAAGCAGGCGGAGAAAGAAAGTGACAAGAGCAATGAGGAGGAAAAGAAGGAGAACAGTAATGAGAGGAAAGGGAAGAAAGAAAAGGAGAAGAAAGAGAAAAAGGAGGACAATAAAGAGGTATTTATACAGCGCCCTCACAAACCCAAACAGACAGAGAGATAAAGGAGAGGAGTGATCAGCGATCAGTGCAGCGGAGCAGCGGAGCAGCGCACCATTGTTCCTGTCCCTGAGGTGATCAACATCCCGGACTGTATTGATGGAGAGATTATTAATCACACTGCCAGGAGTGACGAATGGGTCCGTTTCAGGGTCGATGTTTGGATAACCTTTCCACGGCTCACCAGGACGGAACTCTGCACACAACACACACAATCAGCACGAAGCAGCGGGACACACGCTCATACCTGCAGGGGAATTCCACCCATTTTTCAAAAAGTCAGTACTGTTCACAGTGGTGGTGATAGGAACCAGACGTCCACCTCTAAAAGCTCCCTCACAGAAAGTTCCTACAGTAAATGGTTATGAATTCACTGCCTGATGACTGAGACACTGTTTTATGATAGTTTAGAGAACTTAAACTCCATTCATGGTGGAGGGATACATGCAGGGCGCTGTGAGGCAAAATAGTCCCCAAAGAAAACTTATTATTTCAGATTTCCCACTATTTTCCATCATCAACATTCCATATAAACTCAGAAGACTCGTGTAGGTTCACTGGTGGTTCTGGATAGTAAATAAAATGCCTATATTTGTGTTGTAGTCATGGCGACCCCTGGTTCCTATCACCACCACTGTAAAGACATCTGAACCATTTCACACCAAACCTCTCTGAATCTCTGTTTACATCTCACACACTGGATTCGGCTATAATAATAGTTGGACAAATCAATAAAAAGTGATTATTTAGTATTTATGTTACAAAAGCTGCAAAGGAGAAGACAGAGACCTGGTGGCCAGTTGACGTTGGTGGATCCATGAGGTGATTTGGCACGGTTGGGCCAGCCGTCCCCCACCGATCCGGGCGGGCTGATGGGGGAGCTGCTGGCGTTCATAAAGTCATATGGACCAAAGGGGGAGTCTTCGAGCCTCAGAGCAGAGGACATAGCACCTGCAGGACAACAGAGACGGTCAGGAGGATTCAGACCACTGACACGGACTCGGACACACACAACGAGCCATCGACCGATCGATCACTCACCAGGTTTGCTGGGGTTTTGATCGAGTGGCGAGTTAACGGAAATATCCATGGCAGTCCACTTCTTCAGACGGGACTGCGGCTCTTTAAATCCAACACTACCGATATCGAGGTTGTTTACATTCAAGTTTGAGTTCAAGCCTGCAGTGAGAGTGAGAGAGAGAGAGTGAGAGAGAGAGAGAGAGAGAGAGAGAGAGAGAGAGAGAGAGAGAGAGAGAGAGATATTCAGACTATGCTGTGGAATTATAGAAATGCACAAAAACATTTTGCTATGAAAGGAAAAAATAAAAAGTTGAAATTTGCTGGTAGGGTTGGGCCGATAGACGATGCCATCGTCCATGGCTGACTGAGATCAGGCTAGCGGAGTTAGCGCGGTGCTGTTTGGGATTTTTATGTCAGCTCTAGTTTAATTCTGAATGTTTGAAGCTTATAACAGGCATTTAAGTAACAATCTTTACTTTGTATGTCTCAGTTTTTAAGCAATGCTTTATTTAAAAGCTTAAAGTCTGTCTCATCATCGCAGCGTTAGCCTGTTAACCAGATAGCTTTCTGCTACCTGTCCAGTCTGCTAGTGAGAGCAGAATATGTTCAGTCATAAGAAGAATATAATGAGTAAAATTTTGAAGCGAGTCTGTTAGGAGCAAACAGTGATGTCTAACCGGCACTTTATCATCTGGTTGCATTTAAAAGACATTTAATTTCTAACAGCTTCTTCACTGAGTCACTATGAAGCCACAGTCTCATATCTGCTGAAGCTCGGGGCTGTTTATGCTGGTGGCTTTGCTAATTTCATCTTCACTCGGCTGTACTGACAGCTGGAAACTGCACGCTGTCCCAGAAACACCTCAGAGACGTTTAATTAGACAAAACAATAACTTAAGACACTTTCTCTGACTTCACTAAACACGGTAACGAACGACACTTCATTTCCCAACCAGACATTTCAGCCATAACCGTGAAACACAGAGGTATCCTGAAAAATAAAGTGGATAAGGAGGAAAGACGGAGGAAAAGCAAACAAAGACGGGCTGAGGAGGGCCAGGGTGGGCTGTGAATGAGCTCAAAAGTAGAATCTCAATAGCACACATTTTTAATACAACTTGGGCCGGTTCTACTATTTTGAGTGCTAAAAGCTCCCCCTTGTGGAGGGTCTTTAGACTGCTAAACATGGCTTTATTATGACATCCATCACTCCTGTCCCTGCGGTGGAGTAATTAGTCTCCAGACTAATTACTAAGCCAAACACTTTACTCCATTTAAAAAGGTAACAGATTAATCGTGACAGCCCTGTTACGCTGTTCATATGATCTTGTGCGCTGTTTGCACTTCACAGCATCCGCGCTTGGCTTTGATAAAATCTATCATGGAACATCAAACCGCAAATCAGTCTTTATGCTGCATTTGGCGGAAGACATGCTGGTCTCTCTCCCACCACTAGAGGGCACCCACCTAAAGGGAAGTTTGAGAAGGAGCTGAGGGCGTTTTGTTCTTTCTGCAGGTCGGAGGTGCTGGGGGGCATGAAGGTGTCCATGTAGGACTTGAGGCCAGGCTGGTGAAGAGTGGGGGGCTGGGGGGAGGTCTGCTGCTTCAGCAGGGAGGGGTCCAGATGGCGAGGAGGCTGGATCATTGGGGAGGGGCCCAGGCCACGAGTCTAAAACAGGAAGATACAGACAGTACAGAGCATGAGGACAACAATACTGTAATGCACTACAGTAAAGAAAAGAAATACAATAAAAACATCCAGTACAGAGGGACTTCATACTATTCTCTTAAATTAGGTGTTCGTTTTCTTCAGAGCTCTAAAATATATCAATAATTATCAATACAGAATGATAATGAAATATCACAGACGATTTCTGGCCACATTGCCAAGTTGTACAGTTCATACGTTCAGGCTCACCTGCTGCTCCTGGACCTGGCGTCCGTTTCCAGGCATCACTCTCTGATTCTGAGCTTTCTGCTGAATGAGAAGGCGCTGCGGACAAAACAACAGACGGAACACATTTCATTACATTTTCTTATTAAAATCAACTAACAGCACATATTCAGACTCCATTCTTATTAGCATGGTGGACGAAGTACACAAACCATGTACTTGAGTTAAAGTAGGTATCAAAAGTAAAAGTACTAAAAGATTAATTATGACTCTGATGTCCTGTTATCATTTTTATAACAAGACTCGCTTCATTAACTCAGTTTTAGGTGAAAATACTCCAGTGTCTCTCTTGGTAAACCAGTCTTTTAGTAGAAGGTCATTAATTAGTGACGCTGATGTCTATTAAAATTATCATAAGCACAAAACACTGAAGACGAACAGTTTCCATCAGGTAGAACTGAGTGGCTCTGAAATCACTTTTTACAAACAAGCAAAGTTTCAGTTTAAGATTTATTTACAAGTTTAATAAAAACTTCAAACTCAGATTCACAAATGAGTTTCCTTTACTAAACTGCATCTGTAGGTCTCTGTTCATAAACATAAACTAGCCAAAACTAATTTACTATAAATGAAATGTGTTTGTATAAATTCAGAACAAAGACACGTCAGTCACAACTGCATATGAGTACATATTTCTATATTGTGGTCTGTTTACACAAATTTAGGTTAGTTCATCATTTATGTTGAATAGACTCTCCCAAAATTTTACGCTGCTGCACTGATGTTGAACCGTGTGCTGCACTGGGTCGGTATGACCAACAGGTCAAAACAAGCTCAAAACTAAGTGACCGCTGTGCCCTGATTGGTGTTTTTGCTTCGCGCTTCTTTCATTTTGACGTTACGTTTTTATACACACATAAACCAAAAAGATTTTGCATAATGTAGCGGAGTAAAAACTAAGATAAGTGACTTTGAAATGTAGTGGAGCGAAAGTAAAAAGTCGCCTTTACTTCAGTAAAGTACAGATACACAAAAAAACTACTTAAGTACAGAAACAAATTACATTTGCTTCGTTACTGTCCACCACAGCCTAGTAGCAAGCGCAATCTAACCACCAAGTCTTAATATGCTTGAGATCTGCCTCTGTGGCCAATCAAGCTGTTTTAGTTCTGCACCTAGTTCTATTAAATACCTATTAAATTTATCTGAAATTTACCCTAAACCCAACTTTAACCTCGACCCGAAACAAACCCAACCCTATTAATCCTGAACTTGACCCCAACGCTGTTAACAAAGGTCTGACTCAGATAGTTTGTTAATAAGCTGCACATATACAGATAATCTACTGAGGGCTGAGCAGACTGAGCAGGTTTAGTTCCGTACCTGTAGCTGATTAAGCTGAGAGAGCTGCGAGAGCTGGTTGAGCTGGGAAAGCTGATTGAGCATGGCCACCTGCTGGGGTCCGAACAGGGGGTTCAGACCACCGTTACTGGGAGAATACTTCAACAGGGATGGTGGAACCTGGAAAAAGGGAAAAATAAATTCCATAAGTGTTCTATAGTTCTATAAATACACATAAGGAAACCCTGCACTCATAGAACAATGAGAAATAGTGCAGACAGTACAAACACAGCTTAATATAAACTGTCTGCTCAAATATATCTGGACTTGTTCAGGCTCAGGAGGTGCCGAGTGTACCTGAGAGGGGAGCAGTGGAGGAGGCACTTGGTTTCGGAGATTGGGCTGAGCCGAGCTCAGAGGTTGTGCTGGAGGCTGCTGGGGGTTCCGGCCCTGTGCTGCTGCGTTACCACCACCGTACATGTTCATATTCTACAAACAGAAACGAGAGAAAAAGACGTGAACAAGGCTGGACAATACAGGAGCAGCTCCCACCAGAGCCAGCTCACATACCACTTTACAGACAAACACAGTATCAATCAACCTTTACTTAATCTTGGAAAACACTGAGGGCGACTCTCACTTACAGTGCTGCCGAGTTGACACAGAACAAAGGGTTGATAATGTGTAAAATAATAACAAATAAAAGTAAATTTAATTTAAAAATGTCTCCGAACTCCTGATGAGCCCATATTCTACATGTACCTTGTGTCATCATTCATTTCTACACGATCATCTTGCAACCTCTCCTTATTCAGAACAAATGAGGCTGTCGTTTGTGCTGTGCCTTTAAGACTGATTTGCAAATGCACTCTGTACTGATTGGTGGCCCTGTGCTGAACGGGCGGGGCTGAAGTGCTGCAGACTAAATGAGTATTTTTTTTATTATATAACAGAACTCAAAGGTTTTCAGTGTTTTTTCCTGGTATAGACAAGACAGGTATGTTTTGAAACTAATGTTTACACAAGACATCTAACATTATTAAAAAAAGCGAGGGAACTTTTTTCATGATCAGAGGCGTCTGACAGTTTGAGGCTGCAGTTTGAGTAGCTGGCGTTGGTATATAACAGCGCTGAAGCGTTAGCCTGTATGTAGCCTTATCTGGTGCCACTTTATTTTGATATCCCACTGCAGACGATTCACAGATGCGCATCTTGCATTTAACTCGCATTCTATTAAATACCTATTAAATTTACCCTAAACCCAACTTTAACCTCGACCCGAAACAAACCCAACCCTATTAATCCTAAACTTGACCCCAACGCTGTTAACAAAGGTCTGACTCAGATAGTTTGTTAATAAGTGGCACACATACAGATAATCTACTGAGGGCTTTCCAAATAAAGTGAGACCCGTTATTCTTATTCTGACTCCTTATTTACCTCGTAATTCAGAGGATCCAATAAAATGATTCAGAACATTTTCCAGCAGTGATTTTAATAAACGCTGTTTATTTTTTTCCATAGAGATGAACAGTTTGGACCCCAAGTATCGAAAACAGTCGACGCTGTCAAAAGTTGATGCATTAAAGATGCGCTCAGTGTAAACACAACCAAACCAGCACAAAGACTCGTCTGCTAAGCGAGCCAATGGCACTAAATATGCTGCAGAGTACAGTGAGATATATATGGTTATTGTGATGAATTATGTCACCATGTCATTTTGTGGACACTGTCAGTACTCAAAAAAAACACTGCATGTCTGATTATAAAATAGCATATTTAGTGCCGTTTAATAGGATGTAGTGCAGCTCAGTGTGTGAAATGTTGAAAACAAATGAGAGGATTTTTTTTTGATGTAGCACTTTGAAGCTTGGCACTACTTCATCTGTCCCAAAGTGTCAAATGTTAGGAAAAAAAAAAAAATAAATCCATTCTGAGACATCGTGTATCATCTAAACTTGAAATATCATGATCATAATTTTGGCCCATAGCCCAGCTCTACTGAACGCTGAGCTGTATCTACAGCACTGAGGATTTACGCCTTGGGTTCACTACACGGCTTTTAGAGTCTTAACAGATTATCAAGACTGGGCGTCTCACGCCTTCACACTGTTTTTTGCAGGTTTTTTTAGGCGACTGAAATATTGGGGATCCACACTCAACGATTAGGGATCAAACACTACTCAACTTTTAATCTCACGTGAACTCTCGCGTTCTCCTGTTACTAGGAGACCCAAATAAACAAATGTGGAGCTGCTGCTGCTGTTTTCTCTGCCATTTGCGCTGAAACAGTAGAGAAGCAGCAGGTAAACGTTTACGTGACACTCATGGGTTTAAAGATGTGATCAGTTGGTATTTTTAGAGTTTTAAATGTACATAAACTCGATTGTGCCTTAAACTCAGCCCATTAAAAAGCTTCGCTCCACACATGAAAGACCTCCCGTCATTTTCTTTGTTCACTTGCTGTTTTTCTTCTTTCGTGCTCTCCGTTTTTATTGGCTGTCGGAGGAGTCTGTTCAGATGGAGTTGACCAGTTTACACTAGAGTTTAATAAACTCTGACTGGTCTGAAATGTGATCAGGAGGCAGTAGATCTGAGTCAGCGCCGCTCACACACGACTCGACTCTCTCCAACTATCGACTCCGACTGACCCAGAAATCTGCAGACTAGAGCCGACCAGCTCAGACTCAGCCTGAGAATCGGGGCTAAAATCAGGGTTAAAGTCGTGCAGTGTGACCTCAGCTTTAACGTTTGTTTGGTGTCAGCTTTTAACGTTTGCATTTCACATGCGAGAAGTTGATGAGACCCGAGAATCTCGACGACAGCGTTAACTGTTTTGGTTCCACCGGAGAACCTTATACGGAACGACGCCAACTACAGAGCGACTTCAGACGTCTGCACGTTAGGGCTGGGCGAGCAATCAAATTTTATTTTCAGCTATGATTTTGGATTCTAACGACTGAGAACAAGATAATCGAGATAAACATTTATTGTGCCACACTCTGCTCCACAAAGATGCTCTCGCTTTGTCTTGAGTTATTAATCGAGCGCCGCCTTTTCCTTTATTTTACTTGTTTTTATTTAAAATTCAAGGAAATCCACCGACAAAAAAGGTGTTTTAAAGAAGAATGAATGTATGACGTTCCATAGTAAATGAGTAATTTGGTAGTAGTTCAGTTAGTAACTCCACAATCTTCACCTTGTTTATTTTAATTAATGTCAGTGTTTGTTCTTTTATGTATGTTTTGTGTATGAACGTATATTGTTTGTGTGTTTGAGCAGCACCTTCAGTCAAATACCGACTGATAAAGCTATGAAGTACTGAAACTTGTAATCGTGTTAAGTAATCATGACCTCAATACTGACCAAAATAATTGTAAATGATTTTTTGATAATCGAGCAGCCCTACTGTCCACGCAGTGAGCTGGAGGCTGCAGCCTGCAGAGACTCACCTGCCTAACCGCGGCGGGGCTGGACCCTGGGTTGGACCCAAGGCACTGGTTAGGTTGGGCAGAGTGTGAAGGGGAAAAGCTCATGCTGCTGTGTGCTGTGTTCTGGGCTTCCTCTGTTACAGAGCTATCGTAGGCAGAAACGGGCAGCGCGAGCTGAAGCGCAGGCCAAGCAGAGAGGAAGAGGAGGAGCGGCGGCAGGAAATGCACCACGGAAAAGCCCAGAGAGAAGAAACGACAACCACCAACACACAGGAGAGAGAGGCTCTGTTAGCGGAAGCCGCAGAAAACAAGCAGAGAGAAAAAGAAGCACTTCCAGTCCGTTAAAGCGACAGTTCAGCCACAGATCTGTTCAGAGTCAACCTCTTTAGACCAGATGGGGTCAATCAGCCAAGACAGGCCTGGTGTCTCTGAGGGTTCTGAGTCTACATGCAAAATCAGACAGCACGCTAATTAGACTCAGGTGGGAATATTAGTATATTTAATATATACATTTGAAGAGCTCTTTTCAGGAATGTAGGTTCTTTATGCTCCAAGAAGCATCAATATAAAGTAAATTCCTTAGTTTTAACAGTATAATAATGTTTGGGCTGTACTGTAAACTCATTCTTCCCATTCAGAACATGTTTAATGAACATTCAGCTTAATTACTCCATTTTTTTTTACAGGTTAAACAAAGACTGAACTTAAAAATCAGGTGTGTAAAGTTGTAACAACTGATATATTTCTGTGTTCAGTCCAATAAACATTTGTTGTACCAAACACTGTGATACTTAATCAGTATAGAAATTAAAATTCGTGTACTGTGCTAATTGGTGGGGCATAAGCTTCCATTACTTTTTGACTACATTAGCCTCGTAGCTCCAGCACAGAAACTAAAGAAGCAAACTTTGTACGCTAAACGTGTCTCGGCTGATTGAACACATTCGGGGCAAGAGGAAGGAAAGCGTATCTACTTTTGCTGAACTATCGCTTTAAAAGTATTGTTGATCTAGTACAGAATGTTCTGAACAGGCTGGCATGCGAGTCGGAAAGTTCAGCTAAGAGCAACTGCCCTACAGATCAAATGGCGCTTCATATGAAAGGAATAAGCAGGCGAAGCTGCAGCAGAGGGCGCTAAAGGGCTAAAGCTAGAGAGCAGCAGAGAGGAGAAATACAGGATGGTGTGACGCAGTAAAGCCCCACTGACCTTCTCCATGTAGGGACTGCGGTCCATGGACGAGTCTTTATGGATCTGATGGCGTGAAGCTGAGCCTTTTCCATAATCTCCCACGTTAAGGACGTGTTTGTCAACATCCATGCGCTTATCCGGCATCATTCCTGCAGAGAGAATAAGGCACGTTAGCACAAAAAAAAACAATAAAAATCTGAAATTCTGAAAATTTGGTGGAATTATCCTTTAAAAAAAAACAGATTAAACGTGTCAGACCTCCAGGCATGTCCATCTTATTGCTCTTCATGGAATCTTCAGAGTCCCTCTGCAAAACATTACAGTATCATCAGCACATTATTCACATTCTTCAAATTCAACGCAAAAACCCACTGAAATCTCAGCCCAAATGAAGCCAATATGGCAAAACGTTCATCTGGAGCTTCACTCGAGCTACGTGGCTAATGTAGCTAACCAGTAAGGTGGTCCTGCTTCCTATTCAAACTTCCAGTTCCACCTTAAATTGCACCGTTTAAGGTGGCGCTGGCTCAGGTAGTTTAAAGAATGTGCACTTACAGGAAAATTCATGCTGTTGAACTGCTTCACAAACTGGTTCATCCACGGATCGTCTGGCTTACTGGGTCCTTTATTCATCTGGAAAAACAAGCAACATTAGTGACAAAATCAGATACAACAGGGTTTAACTCTTCTTCACACGCTGGCGACACTAGATCGAAATAAAAACTATAAACACCAAACATTACACTGTTGCTGTTTGGCATGAATTAATATAATTAAGCAATACAGGACAAACTATTTGTAATAATCCACTCCTTAAATGTCGCATGCAAAAATTAGTGACGTTTTGTTGATGAATTTAATATATTCGGGGGAACAAAGTGCAGCCTGAGTAAAGGCTTTTCATTACGACTTAATTGCGAAGCTGTTTTAACACTTTGTTGTAGCTCCAATAAACACAGTGACTGTCCATTTTCAGCTGTCTTTACTCTCCAACAGCTGAAATTTGTGCATTTCCACTATAAAACACTGATTAGATCAGGGGTGCAAACCACTAACAGGGCCATATTAAAAAACCTCCACAAATCTGAGAACCTGAGTGCGTTTATATTTTAATACCACAAAAAGTGAAAAGCAAAGTACAGCCACTTGTAGTGAACCTTCAAATATTACAAGTGAATAATTGATATATTTAGGCTACAACAGCTACAGATAACTGCTAACTCTCTAAATGATCCCAGGAGGTCTTTTAAACCTACAGGTTTGTTCATTGTTGATCAGTTTCTGAAAGCGTTTATAGTGTTTACGTTGGCTGACCTGCAGCTGAAGTGCAGCTGGTGTTTTGGGTGATATGACAAGTGCAACTGGGTAGAAAACTGCTGTCCTATAGACTTGTTGGAAGTGGGGTGTCAGCGCAATGCATGCTGGGGATTGTAGTGCTACTGACTATGAAATGTGCTAATATTAACAGAAAATCAAACTAATTTTGTGGGTTGGATTGGATTGTACCAAGGGCCTGATTTGGCCCGCGGGCCTGGCGTTCGACACGTGGGGGTTTAGACAGTGAGCCTGGTGTAGACCAGGATTAGAGAAGCGGGTTAAGCTCAGTCTGAACTACCTTAGGAGGCATCTTCTTCATGTAGGACCAGTTTCCAGTCTGGTTCATTTCCTGTGACGTGTTGTTGTTCCACATGCCGATCTCCACCTCCTCCTCCTCCTCCCCCCAGGAGGACGCTCCAGCCATCGACATCTCCTCTCCACCCCAGCTGTCTTGCATAGGTTTGGGTCCTGGAGGACAGAAAGGGGCGGGGCAAAGGGGAAACAGTTAGGGGTTTTTACCTTTATGGGTAATGGTTAGGTTTTTGTTGGTGCTGGGCAAAAGGATTTATCAGTATCATGATGACTGATATGGTTTTCTGAGTATATCTGGATACTATCAGCACTTAAAGCAGCACCATGTAGGCTCTGGAGATTTCCTCTCTGGAAACATGTAACTGCACGTGTCTAAACTCAGTGAAGGAGCGTCTTCAGAGGATGCGAGTGAATTATCTACTATTGTCATCATATCTTCATCAGTATACGTTGATTTTGAGATCGCTTGAGGCCGAAACATCGAGCCGGACCTTCTTTTCGAGTCTGTGTTTAACGTTAATACGTAAAGACGTACGATGTGGTGTGAAAAACTCAAAGCCTCTGAGTTTAACTGATTATTTCTGGCTTTACAGGGCGACTCACAGCAGCCTGTTTTTACTCTCCTCACTCAGTAACAGCACTTCTTTCAGTTTTAATTAAAAAAAAATGTTAAGTAGCGCTGCTTTAAACGAATGCTGACCAACCGCTCATCTCATTAAAGAGCGTAATTAGTCCTGTTCAACCCTCTTATTGTCTTTGTGGTCTACACTATTGTTCTCATCTGTGTATGAAGAGTTTCATGTTTATATAATGCATTTATAAAAAATAATAGCTGACAAATAAACAAAAACATTTCCATTTCTAATAAGTGAACCATAAAGCACGGATTTCTCGTATGCAACTCCCAACAACGTACGTTCACAGGCTGTGGACTATATGTTAGGTATTCGGTGCAAAAACATAGCATTTACAGCGGTGATACACCTGTCAACACAGGTTAAGCTTAATTCGTGTTCAGGAAAGCAGAGCTTCAGGGGTTAATGAGGCTGAGCTGGCGCCATGTGGTGCTGTTGTGATTATACACAGTGAAAGTGCTTTTAGTGGCCACACTGAACACCACACCGCCGCCCACGGGCAGATAAACACCGCTGAGAGAGATTTAAGAGACCACCCATAAACCATTAATGATGCTTTGCCTGGCCCAGATGGGCTCTGGACTCACCGGGTTTGTGCTGCGTGGGCGGAGCCATGGTCGCCCCGCCCCAGCCGCTGCCTCCGCCGCTCTCCCTGCCCGAATCCTCCCAGCTGGAGCCCGTCTCCATGGGTTTCCCCCAGGCAGCCGTGCCATTGTCCACAGTGACAGGTGGGCCGGCGGGCTCGCCCCACGTCGAGGACTCCATCTTCTGCGGCCCACCATATGGCTCTCCCCACCCTGCAAACACACCCACACTCAGGATCAATCAGTGCAGCTGAACAACTACCAGCAGCTATGCACGTTCAGGACCAATACGATCTACAAAAGGTGTTAAAAATGTTCCTGATTCCACAGAACTCTAATTTACTCTACACAGTCCGGTTCAGCTCAGAGCAACAAAGGCTCTCCAACAGGCTTGACCCGACTGACCACAGGCACCATCACTATTATCAATCTCAGGGCTGTTTTAAACGTACCGCTCGCGGACTTTAGGTGCGCACATGTAATTATTCTTCCCGTGATGGTTTTTCTTTGAATGTGTGATGCTGGTTAACGTCCTGAATCAGTCCTGACGGGCTGCCCTGCTTTAGAACGTTCTGTAGCAGAGCTGCAGTAACAGCAGCGCTCAGACCAGCTCAGTGATTAAACTTCAGCTGCTTTATGATTTTAACAAGAATCAATTTATAAACATGATTTATTAAACAGCAGAAACTTCAAAACCATACAAACTACCAAAATAAAACTACCATTTAACAAACCATATGAAACACCAAAAAAACTACCGAACCATACCAAAAATTACCACTGTATCCAAAAAAACCCCAAAACAAAACAGACCAACTACCAAACCAAAAACTACCAACTAACAAAACATTAACCACAAAAAACAAACCATATCAACTACAAAACTATATATAAAAAACCTACCAAACCAAAAACTACCAACTAACAAAACATTAACCACAAAAAACAAACCATATCAACTACAAAACTATATATAAAAAACCTACCAAACCAAAAACTACCAACTAATAAACCATATTAACCAAAAAAAACCTACCCAACCATACCAACTACCAAATCAAAACTATCAAAGCATACCAACAACTGCCAAAAACTACCAACAACTAACAAACCATATTAACAAAAAAAAACAAACCATATCAATTACAAAACACCAACCAACCATACCAAAAAAAACCCCAACTAATTAACCATATTAACCAAAAAAACCTACCCAACAAAAACTACCTAATAAGCCATTTTCACCACTACAAAAAATAAATAAATAAATAAATAACAAAAACAAAAAACAAAAAAAACACCCTGCATGTATCCCTCCACCATGAATGGAGTTTAAGTTCTCTAAACTATCATAAAACAGTGTCTCAGTCATCAGGCAGTGAATTCATAACCATTTACTGTAGGAACTTTCTGTGAGGGAGCTTTTAGAGGGGGACGTCTGGTTCCTATCACCACCACTGTGAACAGTTTTGACTCGGTAAGTTTCTCTAGAACAGAGCGTTTCACACCAAACCACTCTGAAGCACCCTGTTTATATCTTAACCACTTAATTATGCAGAAATTTAAAACAGTGAAATTCCCCTTCTGAAAAGGTCAGATGAATATAATGTTTTAATTCTATTTTAGAAGGACTGCAGAAAAAAAACCTACAGCAAAACATGATGAAGCGCTTACAGGGTCTACAGACCGTGGAATAAATTCTCCAGGCCTGCAAAGACATGCAGCCACATCTCAAACATCCAGGAAGCTACATCAGTGTCAGTGAGATATGGAGCTCCAGCTCTGGTGCCCTGCAGACCCCGCTGGCCCTCACGGTGACGTTATTAATATATGCGTACAGGGCGCTGAACTCTGACGCTGGAAACAAAAAAACTCACTCAAAAGCAAAAATAACGACATAGTAATGAAGCTGCGTCCATCAACTACAGCCTGTGCAGATCAGCCTAAAGTAGCTGTCAGCGTTTACGCCTACAACCCCAAACTCTGTGAGGCCAAATTAGCTCAAAAAGCCCAAACATTACAACCAATTCATCTGCCTAGTGGTCACCCACAACATGGTCTGGATAGACTTTAAGGAGGGGAATTCCTGCATAATTAACTGGTTCAGATGTAAACAGAGTGATTCAGAGTGGTTTGGTGTGAAACGCTCTGTTTTAGAGAAACTTACAGAGTCAGAACTGATCACAGTGGTGGTGATAGGAACCAGACGTCTGAAGAGTTTAAAGCAGGGGTGCCCAAACTTTGTCTTAGAGGGCTGAAACACAAAGTTGTGATGGACCTGGTGCAAAAAATAAATAAATAACTATAGATTAAATTAAAACTACAAATGCAAAAAATATAAAACGGAGGAACATTTAAAAATGGCTTTGTACAGAACCATCAACACCCAAAGAACCTTTTGCATTATCGTGAATGCGCCCTTCAGAATGATGCAGAATGTGTTGTACACGGTTCTATATAGAACCTATCTGAAAAAGATTCTATACTTCAACAAAAAGCGTTCTTCTACTGCTGCAGTGTCAAGTTTGTAATAATAGAACAACCCTTTTCAGTGCTGTATAGAACCATGTTCCAAAAAAGGCTCTACATAAAACCGCGTACAACACATTCTCCAGCAATCTGAAGAGCCTTTTCACAATGCAAAGAATCATTCAAATCTTGCAAAGGGTTCTTCGAGTGTTCTTGGTTCTGTATAGAACCACTTTTTCTAAAAAAGCATTTTTTTTTAAGTGTGTAGAGTTTAATGAGCTCTGAGTCAAAGAGCTGCGTTTTCAGGTGTTTATTAAAAGTGAGCTCTGAGCTCGACTGTCTAATAAAAGCTGAACTGAGCTCCACAGTTTAGAAGCAGAATAACTGAAAGAGTCTCTCCACGTTTTCTGTGTTTTACTGAGTTCAGAAGGTCAGAATCTGCAGATCTGAGATCATAAACAGACGTTCAGGAGCTTTAAGGTCATTTAGAGTTTTAAAAACCAGCAGCAGAGCTTTAAACTCTCTCTAACAGATCCAGGCGGTCAGTGCAGTGTGTAGACGGGGGGATGAGCAGCTTTTTGGCTGCTCTGTGCTGCAGCATGTGGTACAAATATGATATTTTTTATATAGTATGTTCTCCCATTTTGTGTGTGTGGGTGGGGGGTGGGGGGTAACAACTACGCTCTGTTTTAATGTAATCATGGTTAATGGTTATGAATATGCTGGTTGATATAAAATCTTAGACATTTCTGAAAATATTTGGACTAAAACATATCGTCATGGTGGAGGGATACATGCAGGGCGCTGTGAGGCAAAATAGTCCCCAAAGAAAACTTATTATTTCAGATTTTCCACTATTTTCCATCATCAACATTCCATATAAACTCAGAAGACTCGTGTAGGTTCACTGGTGGTTCTGGATAGTAAATAAAATGTCTATATTTGTGTTGTAGTCATGGCGACCCCTGGTTCCTATCACCACCACTGTAAAGACATCCAATCTACAGTCCAATCTAAAAAACTGAAATGTAGAAATTCCCAAATCACATTTAACAAGTAAACACACTATTTTGTTCGAAGGTGATATAGCAGGTCTACACCAGCTTAACATGAGCAAACAGTGAACTAACGCTTAACAGCTTTACCAAAAACCTGCATTCTCATGAAGAAGTGTTTATGTTTTCAGTCTCAGGAGAGTACGAGTTACTGGACTGAGCGTGGGCGGACCGCCCCAGTCTGGCCTCCCGTATAAACATGCTTATGTAAGCTTTGTTTACTTTGAAGTCCTGATGAAGGATCGGCTTACATCTGACCACTGAAGATTTTTTGCACTTTCACCGTCCAGCGCATGCCCTGGATTCTTCGTACAAAAATAGCTCCGTCCATGTGCGTCCTTCTGCTCAAGTTGCTAGCATATGACTGCACCTTCGGTTACAGCGTAACCCGAGTCTATTTTTTCCCCCGAGCGCAGCTCATCCACGGCCAAAACCTGACCTTCTGAAACACTGCCGCTGTTACACGCCTAGAACAAACCTGTTCCTCTCAAACAAAACAAAAAGAACCTTTCTGTGGGTCTGAGCAGAGCTGATTCCCCACAGAGCTGCTCTGCCTGCGCAAGTACTGAGGAACGTGTAGGAGGGAGGAGAGCGTCCGGAGAAATTCCAGAGGTATGACTACACCGCCATAAATAAATACAGCCTGCAAGTTTCTGAAGAAAGGACAGGGAAAAGAGAGAGACACCTACCTGAGCCGCTGCTTTTCTCCTTCTGCCCCATGGAGCTCGGGGCTGGTGGGGGAGGTTGCTGCTGAGACCCAGCCATTCCATCCTGCTCTGCCGAGCTATTCTTGTTCCACATGTTCACGTTGCTATACTTGTATTTGCTGGGGTCTCCCCATGCAGAAGTCCCATCGTCGATCTCCATCCTGCGCCGGATAGACTCGGGCGACGGCTCTTCCCAACCGGTAGGTTCTTCTTCTTTCGGAGCAGCTGGCATCGGACCTCCTAGCCAACCCGAAGGCTTGTTCTGGGATCCGGTTTGAGAAGCGTTCCCTGCCCTAAAGGTTCCCACGCTAGTATCCTGGGACTTGCCCCACTCCGAAGTGTTGTTGGGCTTTGCGGAGTCACCCCAGGCTGGGTTAGAGTGGCTCGGTTTGATCGGCTCACCCCAGCCTTGGTTCTGATTATTGGTCTTCACAGGATCTCCCCATCCACCGGTGGGGCCTCCTTGATCAGGGGTACTGGCTCCTCCACTGCCTCCCCAGGTGTTGCTTGGGTTGCAGCGGCCTGTATCACTCCAGCCTGAACCGGAACGGTCACTGTCGCTGTCCCAACCTCCTGAGCTGGCTTTCTGAGGTTCTCCCCAGTGGTTTCCTCTTGAGCTTTCTCCGCCCCAGCCCTCTCCAGAAGAGGAACCACCCCATCCCTGCTTTGCCTTCGGTCCATTATTCCAGGAAGAGGACTTGTCATCCTTGCTGTTTCCCCAAGAGGAGTTGCTCTTGCTCATTCCGACGGAAGAATCCTCCCAGCCGTTCTGGCCGGCTGGGGTTTTGCTGCTTTCTCCCCATCCCGAGGTTGGCTTCTGCTCGCCCCAGCCAGAGTTGCTACTGTTAGTGCTAGGTCCATCCCCCCAACCACCTGAGTTTGACGGCTGGGTAGGAGGGTTACCCCAGCCCTGCGACCCACTTCCGGTCTTCTTGTCGGAGCTGGAGACGTCCCAGGCAGTGTTCTGGCGGACTGGGGTCTGGCCCCATCCTGTGTTGGACAGCACCCTCGGGTCCATGTCGGCTCTGGAGAGAGCCGCTTGTATCATATTCTGCTGGCTGCCCCTCTTGCGGTTGGCACTTCGCTGCCCATCTCTCTCGCTACGACCTGCCGAGCTTTCCCCACTTCCTTCGCTGCCTGTAGATTTGTTCCATGTGCTGCCTTGGGATGACTGGCCAGCGCTCCCCAAGCCGAGAGCGTCATCCTCCAAGGACTTCCATCCGTTTGTTCCCTTCCTGCTCCCATTCGTGCCATCATTGGAATGCTGATTGTTGCTGGGCAATGCGTTCCATTCCCCGTTCGAGACCTTAGTGCCAGTGTTCGAAGAGGATGAGGAGGATGAAGAGGACGAGGAGGCACTACCCCAGGGCCTGGGGGCCACTGCCGGACCCAAGCTGTTCCCTGCTCCCCAAGTCATGCTCTGAGAGGAAGCGGACCCCGAGTCCCAGCCACCTCCGCGGCCGCCCATCCCGTTATTATTATTCTTGAAAGAAGAAGAAGTAGAAGAAGAAGAAGAAGTAGCGCTCACAGAGGAGCCATTGGCTCCGGACTGCATTAGAGTTGCGTTCACAGTGTCGCCCACAGCTTGGCCTTTAGGGACAGGACATTTGTCTCCAGAGTAATTAGTGCCGGGGGTAGCGCCCCACGCTGTACCATAAGACCCGCTGCTGCTGTTCATTCCCTCGCCATTGCCATGCTGAGAAATGGAAGTGCCATTAGAGACTGGAGAAGTTTGGAGCTGAGGGGAGCCCCCTGTGCTCACAGGCCAGGCTCGGTGCCCTGGGGGCTGTTCATTCATCTGCACTGAACCTGTAGAGTTTGGTAAACTAGAGGTCATCGTGTTAGTAGTGTTATTTGGTCCATTAAATTCAGTGTTAAGGTTTTGAGGCTGCCCACTTAGAACCTTGTTTGTACCATTGACTTCGGATTCCACAACGCTTTCCTGCAGGCTTCCCCAGGACATCTTAGAGCTAATACTCTGCATACTGGGGTTCTGACCTATGGTGCTTCGTTGAGTGTTCGTGCCCCCATTCCCGTTGCCCACAGGCCCGTGGGGGCTGGGCCCTGTGTTCTGCAGAACGGGCCAGGCACCATGGTTGGCATTTGGGTTCAAAGTGCTTGGATTTATACCTCCATTGGTTGAGGGACCTTGGGTACCCCATGCATTCATCTTTCCGTGACTACCTTCCGCCAGCTTGCCGCTGGGGCTCTCCCCAGAGCCTTGACATGTGCTTAGCATTGAGCCGTTGGATACGCCCCACGGCCCCTTAACGCTCCCGTTAGCCACGTTATTGCTGCCGTTTGCAACCATAAAATGAGAACCTTGCCTATTGCCATTGCTGTCACCGCCAGCAATCCCAGACGCCATCATACTGAGGTTTTTCTCAGACCCAGAGCTGGAGGCCGAGTCAGCGTCCATACATTCTGAGGCTAACTCCGGGTCGCTGCCGCTGATGGAGGGCCAGGGTCCCTTATCACAGCCGTCTACAATGACTTTGCCCCAGTTACTGTTTGAGTCGCTGCACGGTGAGCCAGAGCTCCAGGGCGAATTCTCATACTGAGGGTCCAGACCAGCGTGATCCAAACCTGCGGAAAGAAGAGCAAAGGTCAAGTTTAGAGCGCATGCAAACAAGGAGGTGACACCAGAAGGCTAAACATAGCTTTCTCTCAACACGGCCTGCGATAAAAGCAAACGAGCAGACAACACATAAATAAAGCTTGCAAATAGAATTACTAGGGATGCGTGATATTGGAATCACACCTGTATGAACTGATAATTACTTAGAAACAATTATTCGGACCAGACAGGTGTTCATACTGACTGATGGGTCACTTTGTTGCATCTGTAACCCCACAGAATTAAATGTTATGCTAACCCAGGCAGATTAAGTCCCAATTCTTACACTGCATTTGGAGACAGTCGATGCATTGGCAGACATTTGATGAAGTACTCACTAATTTATCACACTCTGGAAGAATGTTTAGGTGATGTCTAAAAACCCAAGTGGATTTAGTCCTAACGTAAACATTTCAGAAATGTTTATGTAACAGTAGATAGGTAAAATATATCAGTGCATCCCTATTAATTACCTTCGAAATGACAGCATGATAAACGAATGAACATTTGACCAGATATTCATCAAAAACATCAGAGGCCCAACTAACGATCTCTCGGCACACCAGCAACGACCGGAACGATCCGCGGACTCGAACGATCCGAACGTTTACGTCCGTTTTCACGGATTAACGGACATTAGCGTGCCCCGCCGAGCGTCGTCTCATTCGAGTCTGGCTAATACAGAGGCACAGCTGCCACCATTTTGTATCAGCAGCGTGATCCTGCAGCATGCCAGAGGATCAGAGCGAGCTCAAGGGTGTCTGGATTTCACTTTGACCCAAATAAGGAAAGAAAACAAAAGATGATAAACAAACAAATGAAAAAAAAAGCAAAACTGCCAATCAAAACTCCAATTTAATCACTAAACAAAAGAAACCTATTTAAACTGCCTTCCTCTTCTTCCTCCCCAACGAGGAGTTCTCAAAACTTATTTCTGCCTGCTTTCAAATTACACTCAAAGATGGCTGCCAAGCTCCCTGAAGAGCGCTTCTCCTGCCAAGTCTCAGGGCTTTTCTCCCAGACGGGCTCTGTTCACAGCAGATACAGCGCAAAGATGAGAAAGAAAAAAAAACCAAAAAAAAAAACCCAGACGCTCCCACTCGGGGGGCCTCGAGTAGACGGTGGCCACGGTTAGCGTCACAGATTCTGATCACAATCGCACAAAGCACACGCTTAAGTGTGTTCATATATTAATCAGAGGCTGCAATGAGTCATTCACCACAGGCATACTGGAAACATATAGGCCTGTGTACGAACGTAAGCTGAGACGTGCCTCTGCGGCGCTGCACTCTGGCCTGAATGAGCTGATACGCTGCTTTTTGGCAGCAGACGGCACAGAGAAGGCAGCAGATTAGCACTATCATTGTATGCAACTAGTATGAGCCTAAACTGGCTGATTCCGTCTGGCTTCTTAACGCTGTTTGCTTAGAAGCAACACAAACTGTGGTGATATTAAACAAACAACACACTCTACAGAAATTGCACATCAAGTAAAGCTATTTCTTCCCTGAGAGTAGAACTATATGCATGCTACAAAGGCCTGAACTGGCTACACAGCTAAGAAATAAACAAATATTGCTCTAAACATGTTTTAGCACCAAGTTAAAAGCTGTTGTGTCATCATTAATTTCACATTTACCATCAAACTCACACTGTGCTTATTGCAACGTAATAGATTGTGAGGGGAAAAATGGCTGCAGACTTTTACAACTGCAACCTTCTCATATAACTGCAAACATCACAAATGATGGTAGTTGACTGTGTAATAATTGTGCACTAAGGGTTTTATGTGAAAAATAAGAAGAATCTACACATAAATGCAAGACTAAGACAAACTGTCAATTGCTTCTGATCTTAGGGGACCTTAAAGATTGTATGATATCCTCTGAGAGCAACTCCACCAACATTTCTGCATAATTATGTGGTTAAGATGTAAACAGAGCAGTTCAAAGTGGTTCAGAGTGGTTTGGTGTGAAACGCTCTGTTCTAGATAAACTTAGAGTCAGAGCTGTTCACAGTGGTGGTGATAGGAACCAGACGTCCACCTCTAAAAGCTCCCTCACAGAAAGTTCCTACATGAAATGGTTATGAATTCACTGCCTGATGACTGAGACTCTGTTTTATGATAGTTTAGAGAACTTAAACTCCATTCATGGTGGAGGGATACATGCAGGGCGCTGTGAGGCAAAATAGTCCCCAAAGAAAACTTATTATTTCAGATTTTCCACTATTTTCCATCATCAACATTCCATATAAACTCAGAAGACTCGTGTAGGTTCACTGGTGGTTCTGGATAGTAAATAAAATATATTGTGTTGTAGTCATGGCGACCCCTGGTTCCTATCACCACCACTGTAAAGACATCTGAACCATTTCACACCAAACCACTCTGAGTCACTCTGATTTGCAGGAATTCTGAAAGATCGGTGGAGCAGATGTACTGGGTTATCCATGTTTTTGGAACACTGGAAAGTAGAAAACTGCAAAGTGGTACACATCTTGACTGCCAAGGCCTTGAAAATTTTGTTAGACTACACCTATATGGTACCTCTTTGGTACTGATCAAGAGGACTGGCATAATATCATATATAGCAAAGAAATAAATCTTGCGCAACTAGAACCAATAAAGAACCACTCACTATGTAGAAAAGAGTCGTATGTACTGCGACCGTAAAAATGTTATTTATTTTCCTTCTTTTTGTCTGTTATAATTGTTTTTATCCATTTCTTCCTTATTATTTATTTTATGTAGTTCTTTCTTTTCTTCCCGTCATTCTGTGTTTGTTATTGTTAAAAAAGATGAAAAAAAAATTAATAAATAAATAATTAAAAATAAATACAAATATTGATGTAGCTGCCCTCCAAGTAATGTTCCCCCTCTAATATAGAGTTCATATTAGTGCCGATGTAAAAATCGACTGCTATTTGAATACAGGCAAACTGAAATGTCAACAACAGGAAAAGTCAATTGACTCCAAATGAATGCTGGCTGAAAGCGCTCCACCGCTCCACCGTCACTGCTTCACTTTCAGATTCAGTTTGACGAAAATGAGAATGAGTGGCATTAATGGTGACGTCAGACAGGCCTGTGTGATAAAGCAGCGCTATGACAACACAACACAAACACCACCAGCACAGCAAGCACACTGCGAGCACACAGCAGACGCAGGCACTACAACGAGAACAAACAAACAAACAAAGAAGTCACCTGTTTGGTTAGGGGAGTGGCTGACCGAGTCCCGAATGGGAGCCATGCCTACGAAACAGAAGAGCAACACCATGAGTCTCAGATACGGCAGCTCGTTAGAGTCTACGGCACTAAACCACCTCCTCACCTCCCGCAGCGAATCAGGACCATGTGACTAAACTAAACCACCTCCGTCTCCACAAATCCGCCCATCAAACACCGACGCACACAAATTAAACATCACACTGGAGACATCTTACAGTCTGATCACGCTGCAGTAAACGCTGAACTCTGTTTATACATTAACCGCCAAACACCGTCGCAGTGTCAACACAGACGCAGCAGGGGTTTGGGGACACTTAGCGTTCTGGCTTCTAAACGGAGCTGAGCGATACGGCCAATATAATACTACGATATTTCAATAACCTTCAATACACAACACAAAACTTGTGCTACATTTTTAAAAAATACTATCAAAAACTGAACACAGTGATTTTTATTCAATATTAGTCACTAAATCCAGTTAAACTGACTAATTTTACTCTCTTTTAGTGAAACATGTAGTTGGTCAGTTTCTACAAGCATTGACGATAAACAGGATATGATCAAAAATGCTTACTGTAATCAATCAGTGGTGTAATTTATCACAATAACAATACTGTCATACTGCCCAGCTCTGCTTTTCAAACAAATTACTGCCCATGTTATTAATTTTCAATAAGAGCCTACATGCTACATTTATTTTACCTCACGGGAAACTGTGGTTTGTATAGATTTACATACCAAAAACTGCTGTAATTCTAACATTTCTTTAGTCATAACAATTAAACAGGCCAACTTTGTTACTGTGCCTTTAAAACTGATATGTAAATGAGCTCTGTTCTGACTGGCTGCCCTTTATTGTGCCTCAAAAAGCAGTTTAGGCTGAAACACTGCTTATGAAGGTCAGTCTGAGGGGCTAAATGTCCATGGGCCAAATGGGCGGGGCTAAAAAGCCATGGGCTGAATAGGCAGGGCTGAACTGCTTTAGGCCAAATAAGCAAATACAGGTAAACGTGACATTTTTTGTGACATCACAAACAGCGAATTTATTTTATTATTTTTCCCCCCCAATATGTTATATTCAAGTAAATAAACGGAAATTGTGCACTAAAACAAAAGCCAAGAAGGCCACGCCCATTGCTTCGCCCTTGTGATGTCAGCACTCAAACCTTTCAGCTGTTTAAAGCACCTTTTAAAAGACCAAAAGAGTTTCAATTTGAGCTTTTAACAACAGTTTGGAAGAGAAAACTGTCAAATGATGATTTAAAAACTTCTTTTTACAGCCAGTAGATACTCTGAAAATATGAAGATACGCTGAAAATAAATAAATCCTCCCTTAAACGAAAATGAACTTCTAAACAAAGCCAGTGTTCCCAAACTCCTCCTGAGCAGAGAGTGAGAGATTAAAGGGAAAGCGTGGGGACCTGAGTGGGGGGCTTTGGTGCAGTGTAGGACAGGCTGCTCGGTTAGCTTTCCTGGCTCGCTGGACGACGTAAGCTGCACTTGAGTTCCCAGGACTGCGGGCAGGACGGCGGACCGGCGCCCACGCTTCAGCAGCCGCGTGCGCGAGAGCTGGCGGAGATGTGGCGGGCGATAACGGAGCGGGGGTCGGGGCGGGCCGCTGGCTCGGACCCTGTTGGCATTGCTGATGGCGCAGAGTGTGCTGCTGATGGGGTTGGCAGACTGAGGCTGGCAGGAACTGGACTCGATATGTTCTGGCACTGCAGGAGAAAGAAGGAGACAACATATTAGAACCAGAGCTGGAGACCCACTCGGTTTAGCAGCACCTGAACGCCCTAACCTTTCAGTCTGACTAACAGCAGAAAGAGCGTCATTAAAAGGAAATTCCACAAAATTCCTGCGTGACTGAGTGTGTGAGGCGTAAACAGAGCGATTCAGAGTGGTTTGGTGAGAAAAGCAGTACAAGCTGAAACTTTCATAACTTCAGCATGAGTAGGCGGAGCCAAACTGCTATCCAACTGTAGCTACAGGCTGAAAGGCGGACGTGTGTGAAACGTGTGACATCACAAACAATGACTTTAAAAACAGGCTGTTTTTGCGGTTTATATTAGAGTCACAGTCCTTACAGTCTAAAAGTGGAACAATTTGAACAATGTTTACGTTCGACATCAAACTTCTGTTATGAACCCAAGGACATTTATGATACTGGCCCTTTAATTATATCCTAAACTTTAAGCAAGAACATTTCACCTAATATCTCAGAGCTTGTGAACTAGCAATCTTAAAAAGCCAGGATCTTAATTTTATAGAAAATAATCACTTTGTCCAGCGTTTAAGACATTCAGGGTACTTTTCGCGATCATTCTTAGTTCATCTGTTCATTTACTTTTAATTATTTTACTTATTAAAGTAAAACAGAGCAGTCAGCGTCACTTACCGCAGTCTAGAGCTGCATTTAATTCATTCACACAGGAGGTTCTAACCTCTCAGCAGGCCTGTCTTCTTTACAGTTACAGTCTAACTTACAGTTCCATTTATAATTCAATGACATTTCTAAATGATATGGGCCCTTTAATGATATCTTACACCATTGTTAAGTTTTATGCTAGGAAATATAACCTTACAACTTTTAAATCATAACTGCACAACGTTTAAGAGATTCAGGGCACTTTTTTCCATTCATTTTGGTTTGTTTATTCATTTACTTTCAATTATTTTACTTATTAACACTGCAGAGCAGTCGGCATCACTTCAGGCCGTCCAGAGCTGCGTTTAATTCATTCACACAGGAGGTTCTAGTCTCTCAGCAGGCCTGTCTTCTCTGCAGGTACAGCATAAAAACAGTGTAGTTTATAATTTAAGGACATTTCTAAGTGATGTGGGCTCTTTTATTATATCCTACATTATTACAATAGATTTTAAGCAAGGAAGTTTAACCTACTGACTCAGTTAACTGGCAATGTAAGCTTTTCAATTGGAACTGCACAATGTTTAAGAGATCCGGGGTACTTTTGTTGTTTATTTTGGTTTATTTATTTACTTTCAGTTAGTTTACTTACTTCAGGCAGTCCAGAGCTGCGTTTAATTCACTGTTTCATTCACACAGGAGGTTCTAATCTCTCAGCAGGTCCATCTTCTCCACAGTTACAGTCTAATTTACAGAAAACGGAGCCGAAAGGAAGTTTATTGCCCGTTTAGTTCTGCCACATTCAGCAGCGTGGGCTCTAAATCACGACTGGCTGATCAATAATCGACAGCATGTCCCACTTCTGAGGCTGAAGCTAATCATCAACCTCACTTCACACGACCTACTTTTAACCCTCTGGCGGCGAGAGCTGACACGGCAAACGGAGCAAACGCTCAGAAACGCGCGTTTCATTCAGTGAACTGACTAAAAAAGGGACATAAGGAAATTAAATCAATAAATGATCCGATTCCAGTCGTGGAGCGTCTGCAGCCGTCACACTTCCATTTAGGGCTGAGACTGTTTTTACATAGAAATCGCAATTTAAGACAAAGGGTTGTTCTATAAAGGGTCAATAAAGGGTCGTTCATGGTGCAATGGTTCTACATAGCACCAAAAAGGGTTCTACTCTTGTTACGATGTCAAGCTTGTAACAATAAAACCCTTTTTGGTGCTATATTGAACTATACACAACACATTCTCCATCAATCTGAAGAACCATTTCACCATGCGGAGAACTCTTTATGGATGCAAATGGGTCGCTGAGTTCATGGTTCTATATAGAACCATTGTCTTTCTTAAAGAACCACCTTTAAGTGAGAACATTAACAAAAATGGTGTCTTAAGTTTTAAGAGGGGAAACTGAACCTAATAAAAGTTAGAGAACTGCCTGTAGGTGAGTCAGACCAATCAGAGGCAACAAATCTCCATGTGTTGTGACATCACAACCACAGCTTACTGGCAGTTTGGGACACCATGTTCAGGGGTCGAGCCTCAAGACAAAAATGGTGAATATTCTGGTCTTCTTGGCCAAAATAATCAGGCCTGAATCTTAATTAGTCAGAAAAATTGCTATTTTCCCCAAATCGTTCAACCCTTTTTCCAATTAAAGGGCCCATATTCTACATTCCATGTACCAAAAATGGCCATAATTCTAAAATTAATCATTTGACCCACCTGTCTTTATCTCTTACAATCAAACAGGCTGTGCATTAAAGGCTGACATGTAAATGAGCTCTATTCTGATTGGCTGCACCTTGTTCAAAAAGCAGTCTCAGCCAAAATGTTCCTTATAACGTTAATGAGATCAAACTTGTGAAATAAAATAAATGTATGGAAAACAGTGTTCAAAATCTGCCCTTTAAATAAATACAGAACTTGTCAGAACCTGTTCTGACTGGATATAAGTGATGAAACTGTACAGTTATACTGTGGAAAATATCCATACCCAATCAATTTTTCTGATTACATGTAATTTTCATACTTTTATACACAAACATCACTGTTTTGTCAAGTCAGACACCGATTTAATGACAGTTTGAGTGACAAAGTCACTTTATATCCACACAGTTTGACTAGTTTGAAGAATCTCTGCAGATTTTTACTCAAAACATACAAACCAAAGGACAAACATTTCAGACAGACATTAGATATTAATAAGTCATAAAGGGCTGCAGTCTGAACGTCTGTGATCAGAGTTCTACTGACGATGCCCACCATACACTCAGAAAAGGGGTCTCGCTACAGAATCCATCACAATAACACAAAGCTCACATCGTGCAGCTCTTCTGGACCCTCAGAGCGAAACCTCCCCACAGACAGACTCTTCAGACGCAGACTGTCAGAAACAGACGGTCACAAAACTCCTGTAACTGACAGCCAGTCCGGAAGGGTCTTACAGAACCGTCCTACAGCTGCTTGTAGAGACAAGAACCGGGTTCTACAAGTCTGCACACAGCACTGCAGCTAATAACAGAGCAGCTTTAACCTCAAGCCTGACAAACAGGTCCATCAGAGGTCAAACACAGCGTTTATTACTGTCTGACCACGCGTCCAGCTTCAGCTCCTGAACATCACGCCTGTGTAGTTATGAGAGTTCAGTACCTTTATGGTACTGAAATACTACACTACTACAGAACATGACTGCAGCAACTAATCAACATTATCAATGACGCCGATAATAAATGACTGGAAACGAATCAAGTGATAGATGAGCTGCCCCGATGGCGCCTTAGACCTTAAAACATCGTCTACAAGGACGATCTGAAAGGACGATGTGTAAAACTGAGCTCAGAGGGCAGCGAGACGGTCAGGCGTGAGAATAAACTGCACCCACGGCAGTTTGTTAGTGGAACAAAACCTCGTATCTCCAAAATGGTAACTTTACAGGAGAAGGGAAAAAAAACACCCACACTTCACTTTTAATGTAAGTCAATGGAACCAGAATTTTCTCCAAGTAATTTGGAGTCGTTTCTTTTGGTCCATTCATCATGAAATTTACACACAATGTAAAGAGCAACAGGTATTTTCAAAATTACATCAAAATCTGAAAAAAGTAAAAAACACAGCACTGCAGTAACACTGACGTGGTGGTGGTGTGTTAGTGTGTGTTGTGCTGGTCTGAGTGGATCAGACACAGCAGTGCTGCTGGAGTTTTTAAACACCTCAGTGTCGCTGCTGGACTGAGAATAGTCCACCAACCAAAACTATCCAGCCATCAGCGTCCTGTGACCACTGATGAAGGACTAGAGGACGACCAACACAAACTGTGCAGCAGCAGATGAGCTATCATCTCTGACTTTACATCTACAAGGCGGACCGACAAGGTAGGAGTGTCTAATAGAGTGGACAGTGAGTGGACACAGTGTTTAAAAAAGCAGTGTTTTTTTTCAGACCAAGGCAGAGCGTTTATGGTTCTATGCAAGGTTTGGTACAATGTCAAGCTTGTAACAATAGAAGAACGCTTTGACGATCTGTAAACACCAGCATTCCTTCACACTGTGTGGAAGTTTCATGATGAATGGACCAACAGAAACTCTCCAAAATAACTCGGAATAAATCATGTCTCCATTTCATCAATAGTTAAGGTGTTTTTCCTTTTCCTGTTAAGTCACCTTTGGAGACACAAGGCTCTGTTCCAACCGTGACAGCGAGTGTGTGTGTGTGTATATATGAACGTGTATATACGTACACACTCTATGTTCTGTATATACTCCGCAGTGTTTCGGTGACCGTAAACGAAGGTCGGCGTGTTTCTAAGAGCCGTGGTGAGGCTATCAGTCTGAGTCAGACGGCTGTAACGCAGATCACACAGCAGTGTTACTCACTGATAAAGCAGCCACGAGGCAACTCGCGCTACAATAACCACGTCTGATCTGATACACGGAGGAAGTCTGTGACGGAGCTGACGACCTGCAGGCATGCAGACCGACCGGACAGATGGGTCTCTACAGCTTCTTTACAGAGGCAGGAACCTCTCCACACAACACGACCATAAAGGACAGCAGAAAAGGTGGAGAACCGAGTTTAGAGCCTCATTTCATTTATACATGCAATAAAACCAGAATGCATTTAAAAAAAAAACTCAGCAAAGTGTTTCACACTGGAAAAAAAATATGCAAGACAAATTGGTTCCCTAAAGAACCACGAGCTTGAAAGAGGTTTAAGGAACCACCGCGTAATGTCAAAAGTTCTAAACCACTTCAAAACCTTTGTATTACATGCAGGTTCTTTAAACTTAGATAAGGTTCTTCACAGTCACATCTCCCTCACAAACACAGTTCTTGCGCAGTTCTCATGGCGTGACTCCTAAGAACCCTTTTTGCCACTTTCTTGTGAATTTAGAATGAGTGTATATATCAAGCTTGCTTTAATAATTATTAGCCCATATCTAGACAATTTAACTTTTTATGTTCTTTAATTGTCTCTACTGGCAACTTTCCTTGTTTCAAGCATTATAAACAAGATCACTGATTTTTTTGCAGTGCAATTTCTGTTTAAACAGTTTAGCTCCATTTCAGGGGACTTCCCCACCAAAAAAAGACCTCAGGAGCTCCAATCCAGCATTAATCTGGTGAAGTAAGGCACGGCTGAGCTACACATTCCTCCGCCTGACCTTTCAACAACAGATCCACTGTGGAGCTAGCTTTCAGCACACAGCGCTATTTATAAACACACGCTGAAGCGGCGCCCTTTCGAAAGAAAACAGAGTTTTAAAAGCTGGAGACCCTCGAAGCGGAATGCGCTGGCAGCCCTGGCGAGAAAGTTTAGCCACGTAAAGCGGTTCTACCTTCCAGTAAAACAGGCTCAGAGCGCCTCTGCGGCTTTTCTCCTCCCTCGTCCGGCTGCGATCGGAGCTTTCAGAGCCCTTCCAGCCTCGCGCCGTCCCTCTGCGCACATTTCACTGGAAAGAATGGAGGAGCGCGGTGTCATTTTACTGCCGGGAGCCGTTGGTCGCTGCGGCTCCTCCCGCAGAGCCCCTGAGAGCTGAAGGGGGGGGGGTGATCACACAGAGAGGACCTGCCTCAGCGTTTCCCTTCAAAGTAAACAGAAAGCGCTGGAAACACTGCAGCTGTGCAGGAGATTCCTGAGTCTCCAGTGTTTACTTCCTGTTCGAACGCTCGCCGGAGACTGACGGCATCGAGGAAGTCCGTCCGCCGTGCCGCGACACGCAGCCTGAAAAACCACTGCGACTCTAATTCGCAAGACGGTGCAAAACAACAGTGCTTAACATACCAGCACTGTAATAAATATCCCTACACACTGCAACACTCGCATTACTAAACACACTGACTCACCGCGGCGTGACCTATTGAACCAGTATCAGGGCTGCAAAGCAACATGTAAATATTTTGCTCTTCGTTTTATATTATTCTTCTTTTATGGTAGCAGGAGACTTAAGGTGGTAGTGGATTTAAGGTAGAAGTGAAGTTAAGGTAACAGGAAATTTAAGGTGGTAGTGGACTAGTGGAGCAACCACCTGTGATACCACAGCAACAACCTAGTGTCCACTTAGCCAGATAATAGCAACCACCTAGCAACCCCCAGGGAAACCATAGCAATCACCTAGCAACACCATAGCAACCAGCTGAGAAACCATAGCAACATTTTAGCAACCACCAACTTAGCAACAGCACAGCTACCAGCCGGGAAACCATAGCAACACCTTAGCAACCACCAACTTAGCAACAGCACAGCTACCACCCGGGAAACCATAGCAACATCTTAGCAACCACCAACTTAGCAACAGCACAGCTACCACCCGGGAAACCATAGCAACACTATAGCAACCACCAAGCAACCACACAGTAACACCAGAGAAACCACCATAGAAACTCACAACAACCACACAGTAACACAGACCCGTTTAAGCTGCGCATCCGTTCAGCGTTCCCTTCAGGAAATGCACGTTTCTAATTACCATTATTAGGAATGCATCGACACCAACAGTGATCCTGATATCGGGCTGATACTCGCGCTCAGAAGTTCACCGATAAACATTCCGCTACCTGCTGTGACCGATAACCGAGTGTAGCTGCTGCGCTAACGAACAAACTCAGAGGAGGATCTGCTCAGCGAAGCGTTACTGACTCCGACACAGTCGGACACAAAGCCCTCGCTCACTGTAAACATTCCGCCTCGGCAGATTCCCACCAGGACACACTGTGGGATTTCACACCGCTTCCCCAATACAGGTGGAGATGCACATCGCTATCCAAGTAAAGGTTGGTCTCCTTATCAATACTGAAATATTAATAACCAGCCAGATTCCTACAAACAGCACCTCACAGCATTTACACACGCTGCTTAATCAATAATGTACCTGAACTACTTTATTAATTTCCCTAAATTAGTTTATATGTTATGTCAATTCATCAAAACTCCTACAGAGACTGTCCTGGAGCCTGATTGGTCAGGAGGATCACAGCACACTACGATTGGCTGGAATGCTCATTTGCATAATGCAGTCATCTGATGTCACTACTTGAAAGACCAACATCACAACATACAGATCAGGCATAACATTCTGACCACCTCCTTGTTTCTACGCTCATTGTCCATTTTATCAGCTCCACTTACTATATAGGTGCACTTTGTAGTTCTACAGTTACAGACTGTAGTCCATCTGTTTCTCTGATACTTTGTTAGCCCCCTTTTACCCTGTTCTTCAGTGGTCAGGACCCCCATGGACCCTCACAGAGCAGGTACTATTTGGGTGGTGGATCATTCTCAGCACTGCAGTAACACTGACGTGGTGGTGGTGTGTTAGTGTGTGTTGTGCTGGTCTGAGTGGATCAGACACAGCAGTGGTGCTGGAGTTTTTAAACACCTCAGTGTCACTGCTGGACTGAGAATAGTCCACCAACCAAAAATATCCAGCCAACAGCGTCCTGTGGGCAGCGTCCTGTGACCACTGATGAAGGACTAGAGGATGACCAACACAAACTGTGCAGCAGCAGATGAGCTATCGTCTCTGACTTTACATCTACAAGGTGACCGACAAGGTAGGAGTGTCTAATAGAGTGGACAGTGAGTGGACACAGTGTTTAAAAACTCCAGCAGCACTGCTGTGTCTGATCCACTCAGACCAGCACAACACACACTAACACACCACCACCACATCAGTGTTACTGCAGTGCTGAGAATGATCCACCACCCAAATAGTACCTGCTCTGTGAGGGTCCATGGGGGTCCTGACCACTGAAGAACAGGGTAAAAGGGGGCTAACAAACGTATCAGAGAAACAGATGGACTACAGTCTGTAACTGTAGAACTACAAAGTGACCCTATATAGTAAGTGGAGCTGATAAAGTGGACAGTGATTGTAGAAACAAGGAGGTGGTCAGAATGTTATGTCTGATCAGTGTATGGATTAACCAACGATAGCGCAGCCGTGAAGAGTAATTACAGTAGATACTCTGCACAAATACGATTAAACTATTATCATCACACCAACAACAAAAAATAATTGTATAATATTGAAGAAACGATATCAAAACTACAATTTTTTCAATTATAACTTAAACTGGGGAATATATTCTGTCTGATCTTGTTAAGGAAGAACAAATTATAATTGTATACCATCTTAAACATGAATATCTTATGAATGTGTCTGTGTTTGGTAACATTCATATCAATAAACAATAAATCTTTGTTCCACCTTCTATAAAAACACAATGATCTTGGGTGAAAATACAAGTTGAAACAGAACCTGCACAGCAGTTCGTAACTCTGTAAGCAGTGAATCGGTTCCTCCACGTGCTGAAGCCCCTCTGTCAGAGCTGAGGAACGCAGCTGTGTATAAATAAAGAGAACAGTGCGGCACGGAGCCGTGCGGAACGCAGCCCCGGCGGGCCCCGACACGCTCGCTAACTCGGCGCAGACAGATGTGAGGATCAGCTTCACCGTCGCCTCTCCAGGAAGGAGGGAAAGATGCTAATCAGAGTTAGCTACGCGCTAACGCTCGAACGCAGTGGATTTAATCTGCGCAGTGATCACAATAAAATCTCTATCACAGTAAAACTAGTACTGAAACCCCAAACAGAACCAGACCAACGTTCTCTAACGTTCTCCAGAGCCTCTTCCTCCCCCGAGTTAGCGTCTGCACTCAGATCAGCCGTCGCCAAGCAACCGCAGAGTGATCTGGTCAACAAACAGAAGCTTCGCGGGACGTCAGAACTAATCACCTCGGGAAGGGTTCTCTTCTTCAGACCCGGAGCACAAAGATCTCCACCATGAAGAACCAGCAGTTTCAGCACCAAACCGAACAGGAACCACATCGACACACACTTACATTACAACAACAAACAACCACAGAAGAACCAGATCTGCATGGAAACAGATCTCAGAGCAGATCTGAGTGATCTGGAAATAAACACTGACAAAAACTAGAAAAACACCTGAATAATATAATAATAATAATAATAGATAATATTTGAATAAACATTAAGCAAAGCTGCAACAATTAAACTACTGATTACTGAACCTAGTAAAGTCAGAATATCCACAATACATTCATTTAAATATTTACTCAGCCAAAAAAGAGACACAGAGAAAGAAGAGAATATCAAGAAATATGAAAGAAAAAGAAATAGAAGGAAGGAAGGAAGGAAGGAAGGAAAACAAAGAAAGAAAGAGAAAAAAAAAGAAAAAGGACAGAGAGGAAAGAAGAAGGAAGGCAGGAAGGGTGAAGAGAAGAAGAAAGAAAGAGAAGAAGAAAGAGGGTATGAAATGAATAAGATGAGGAAAAAAAGAGAAGAAAGAAAGAGAATATCAAGAAATATGAAAAAGAAGGAAAGAAAGTAAGAGGATAGAGAGGAAAAAAGAGGAAGACAAAGGATGAAGAGAAGAAAAAGAAAGAAAGGATGAAGAGAAGAGAAAGAAAGAAAGGATGAAAAGAAAGAAAGAAAGAAGGAGGGCCAAGAAAGATGAGAGAAAGAAAGAAAGAAAGAAAGAAAAGGAAAAAAAAGAAAGGGAGAAACAGAAAAAACAGAAGGGCCACAAATGAAGGAAAGAAGAAAGAAGGAAGAGAGAGAGGAAGAGAGAGAGAGAGAGAGAAAGAAAGAAAGAGAGAGAGAGAGAAAAATGGGGGGGTGAAGTGCGTCCTGTACGTCTGGATGACACAGCGATACAATCAGATATCAATGATGATCAATAAGTAACCTAATAGCGACGTACACAAGGCACCAAAAAGGGTTCCTCTGTCTTTACAAGCTCTACACTAACAGTAGAACCCTGTCTGGTTCTATATAGATCCATACAGAGCACATTCCCCATCAGTCTGAAGAACCATTTCACCATGCAAAGAACCATTTAAGCTTGAAAAGGATTCTTTGAGTGTTCTGTATAGAACCACTGTCTTCACTAAAGAACCCTTGCAGAACCATCTCTGGGAGTGTAGAGTGGCCCCTCCTCCGTCTGTGCTGAGCGTGATGTACTGTGCAGTATTTCCTGTATTGGTTATAATCGATATTTTTGAGTGAGTAGATGAGGCGTTTATGTATATCGATTACAACTGATGATTTTCTAATTAGTAAATAAGGTGTGGATCATGTTTATGTATCGGTCAGGTGGAGCGCCCTGACCGGAGCGCCCTGACCGGAGCGCCCTGACCGGAGCCCCTGCTGTGTGAGTGAAGAGAGAACACGGCTGCAGTAAATCCATCAGCACTGAATTAATCACCCAACCACTGATACGATAAACAGAACCTGATAAACAGGGAACAGTGAGGAGCCGAGAGGAACTGGAAGACCCGGAGCTGCAGATACAGAAGATTCTTCAGCTGTGATCTACATCGACATCAGTCTGACCAGACCAGCTCCTAAACTGACCAGCACGCGTCCAGAGATAAACAATCAGAGCGACAGCTGATCAGAAGTTCTGATGACTGACAGCTGGACTCGTCACCCAGAATGCCTTTCAGCTCGCTGTGAAAGGGCGCGTTATTCAGCCGCTTCTTTGGTTTCTTTAAAATTCGCTTTCAGTCTTTTAACCGTTGCCGTCTGGATGAGTCTCTTCTAATGTTTGTACAGAAACATCAGCCCAGATGTTTAAGAGTCTCAGCAGCGCCAAATTATGATGAATGTTGAGCTGGATTGATGTAGAAGTTGTTTAAATTCTGATTCGGCTGTTCAGACTGCATCAAATTTCGGTATCACAGATAAAAGCGTCCCAAATCAGAACTGAAAAGGTTGAGCTGATCTTGCTGCAGATAACACACCTGTGTCCTCAGACTGGGGCCACTTCTACCTGCTGTGTGAACAAAGCCTGAGAGTCACTTCATCACAGTCCAAAACCACACACACACACACACACACACACACACACACACACATATATGTATATATATATAAAAAAAATCACCAGATATGGACAGTGATCAATAAGTAACCTGACAGCGATGTGAAAACGGTCCTGCACAGCACCAAAAAGGTTTCATCTGTCGTTAAACGCTTTACAACGCAACAGTGGAACCCCTTTTGGTTCTATATAGATCC